CCTTTCCCTCCATTTTGTGTGTGCCCCTGTCCCTCCATTTAATGTATGCCCCTTTCCCTCCATTTTGTGTGTGCCCCTGTCCCTCCATTTTGTGTGTGCCACTTTCGCTCCATTTGTGTGTGCCCGTCCCTCCATTTTATGTGTGCCACTTTCCCTCTATTTTGTGTGTACCCCTTTCCCTCTTTTTTTTCTGTGTGCCCCTGTCTGTCCATTTTGTGTGTGCCTTTTTCCCTCCATTTTGTGTGTGCCCCTGTCCCTCCATTTTGTGTGTGCCCCGTCCCTCCATTTTGTGTATGCCCCTTTCCCTCCATTTTGTGTGTGCCCCTGTCCCTCCATTTAATGTATGCCACTTTCCCTCCATTTTGTGTGTGCCCCTGTCCCTCCATTTTGTGTGTGCCACTTTCACTCCATTTGTGTGTGCCCGTCCCTCCATTTTATGTGTGCCACTTTCCCTCTATTTTGTGTGTACCCCTTTCCCTCTATTTTTTTTGTGTGCCCCTGTCCCTCCATTTTATGTGTGCCACTTTTGCTCCATTTTGTGTGTGCCCCTGTCCTTCCATTTTGTGTGTGCCACTTTCCCTCTATTTTGTGTGTGCCCCTGTCCCCCCATTTTGTGTGTGCCCCTGTCCTTCCATTTTGTGTATGCCCCTGTCCCTCCATTTTGTGTATGCCCCTGTCCCTCCATTTTGTGTTGGCCCCTGTTCCCCAGTTTAAATCTGCCATATTCAGTCATAAAATGGATTGACCGGGACATTTCCCAAATTTAACTCAGAAGACTGTGAGATTTATACAATGCTACAATAAAGTGTATTATTAGCCCATCACCGGGTTGTATTAGATTACCTTTTTATTTTCTCTTTGGCAGAAGTGATTTATTTGAGACCAAAATCAATCGAAGAAAGGTGCAGGTTGTGTTTTGCTATTTTTCTTTCCTTTCAGGCAGGGCATTAAAATGTACTCTGATACGCTTTGCTGACAGTTTGCTCAATATTGACAGTGAAATAAATCTCTTCATCCCCAGGAAGTGAGAATAAACCTGGTTTGTTAATTGGGCGAAAACGAATGACGTGCTTTCCTTTGGCTCAGTGGAGATGAGGAACATTCTTTAAGCGTTACCTTCTATGACTCTGGACCGAAGCATGGGAGTAAACTGCAGTCTGATCCTCTGCTTGCCCTACAGGCTGGTTTTAAGGAAAAAACTGAAGGGATTCGTTCAGTTATAGAGCAGAGCGATATAAAACAATAAATATGTAGTAAGAACCTGACCTTGATGAGAGGTTCAGAAAATGATATAAATATATATATATATATAAATAGTGGATTGAAACAAACTGTAATGTAAAATAAGGAACAATTTATTACACATAAAAGGTCATTTCCTCAAAACATATAAGTTTGATAAAAGAACCTATTATCTTATTACTTACAAAGGTGAAACGGAAAGTCTAGCAATATATTATGTATATAACTGTACTTCTCGCAAATTATATCACCACAAAAAAAGATTAAATAGTGCACTTGTATAGCAAATGTTTGGATGAGAAATTGGATTGTTATACTATAGGAATAATGATGAGAATTCAGCACAAGGTAACAGGATCTTAAAGTCGTCTTGGGGTAATGTCCACTGTTAGCTGTTCTGAATAAGTGGATATACAGCCTAGCCTAAGTCTGCAGCATTCTATCTAGAATTCTCGAAAGAATTTCATTATTCCGCTTTTGAATAAATACAAAATATTAAGATATTCTGGGATGTTATCATTATTGGTGAGTACTTCCAACATTCTTATACACAGTTCTGTAGTAGTAGTAGTAATGTAGATGTGATCTTGAAAAAGACCCGGCAGATTTAAAATGTCAATATGTGTGTAAGTAGTAATTAATTAAAACCCCAGTAGTATATCCCTTGAGTGCATCCTTTTTTTGTCTATATATCTTCATGCCTCTTCTGTGCTGTCCAAACAAAAAAACAACGTTATCCTAAGATCACTTGAAAACCGTCTTTAACATGGGTATCCAAATGTTCCACCTAACTTAGACCAGGAGCCCCATAGTTCTCAGTATTTATTTTTTTAAACTAGCATCTTACCTGTGCCTACCCCTCCTGTCTTTCTGTCCTTAACATGTACAACCATGCCCTAGCGCAAAATGGACACACGTGTTAACGTATCCAAAGAATATTCCCATAGTCCTTTACTGTCTAAACAAGCATAATGTGCATGTCCTCACCGGACCCCAGAGGGTTCACATAGTGCTAGGAGTAGAGATTTGAATTCCTCTCATCATCATAGTTTCCCTTTAATAACTTTGTTTTGTCAAAAAGTACCAGGCTATCTAAATTCCGTTTTTTTGTTGTTTTTTTTTTTATCCTCCCGCAAAGCAATTTATTTGTGTACTAGATGGTCGTCATTCTGAATCACTGGCGGATCCAGGGGGGGGGCAACGGGGCAATTGCCCCCCCCGAGAAATCCGCCGGTCTCCCTCTCCCCTGCCAGGACATGCAGGTGCTAGCCCTGCAATGTGCCTGCGAACCGGAGGGGAGATCGGAGATCTCCCTCCCCGGTCCGCAGGCACATTGCTGACAGCCGGCAGGGGAGGGAGAGGGAGGACCCGGGAGCTCAGTCTGCAGCTCCTCCGGGTCCTCCTCTCGCGAGATTTGGAGCGTTGGCAACGCTCCAAATCTCGCGAGAGTGAACTCTAGCCCGGGAGCGCGGGCTAGAGTTCACTGTAACCACTGGGACCACCAGGGAATCACCACTGGGACCACCAGGGAATCACCACTGGGACCACCAGGGATGAAAATATGTCCCCCCTCCTCCTCAATAAAGGTAAGAAGGGAGGGGGGACATATTTGTTTTTTTTTAATTAAATAAAGATATATATTTAAAAAAAAAAAGCCCCCCCCCCCTACCCTTAACACACACACATACACACACATAGCCCCCATACAGCCCCCCCATACACACATACTGCCCCCCATACTGCCCCCATACACATACTGCCCCCCATACACACATACTGCCATACTGCCCCCCATACTGCCTCCCCATACACATATACTGCCCCCATACAGCCCCCCATACACACTATACTGCCCCCATACACATACTGCCCCCATACACACATATTGCCCCCATACACACATACTGCCCCCATGCTGCCCCCATACACATACTGCCCCCCTGCTGCCCCCCATACACACATACTGCCCCCATACACACATACTGCCCCCTTATAAACACATACTGCCCCCATGCTGCCCCCCCATACACACATACTGCCCCCATGCTGCCCCCCCATACACACATACTGCCCCCCATGGTGCCCCCCCATACACACATACTGCCCCCCCATACACATACTGCCCTCATACACACATACTGCCCCGCATACACACACACTGCCCCCATACACTGCCGCCCCATACACACACATTGCCCACATTCACACACACACTGCAACTGTTACACACACATACTGTCCCACACATACACTGCATCCCTGACATACACTGCCCCCCCTACTCACACACTACAACCTTCACACACACACACACTGCTCACACACTGTCCCCCTCACACACACACACACTGCACCCCTTACACATTGCACCACACACACACCACTGCTCCTATGCCCTACTACCGCCCCATTTCCCAGCAGACCTCAGGTAAGTTGTCAAACTGTTCTTAAACGGTTTGACTACTTACTCTAGGAGGGGGTCCCGGCACTATTGACACCATAACCACTACACTGAGCTGTAGTAGTTATTGTGTCTGGATTATTTCTTTAAATAATCTACAAGTGCCCCTCCCGAGATCAGGCTCTGGATCCGCCACTGTTCTGAATCATTGTACCAACATCTTAATACCTGGAGTTTGACTGGCCCCGTTTTATGGATTTGCACAGAACACCACTTTGCTAAAAGCAAAAGACAACAGGTTCTCCTGTAATAAGACAACAACAATTTTTGAACATTAAAACAATTTACCAGTAGCGATGTGATCGGCAGACTAATGGATTTTTATTACACTGTGTTCTGTTCATAACAAGACAATTAAAGTGGTTTTCTTGCCTTCTACATCATGAAGGCCCAGAATGTTTCACTTTGCAGTTTTCTAACCCTTTTGCTACCAATAGACTTCTGGTTCTGAAATCCATTTCAGCATCTCTTCCGAGGCCTATAGGAAAAACACTTCTTTTTTTGAGTTTATAAAGATCTAAAAACCACTGTAGGTGAATGTTCAATCATAAGAATGTATAATTCAAGTTAAAGGACCACTATAGTGCCAGGAAAACAAACTTGATTTCCTGGCTCTATAGGGACTTTGGGTTCCCCCCACCCTCAGGGTCCCACTCCCGCCGGGCTGGAAGGGGAGGAAGGGGTTAAAGGCTTACCTTTCTCCAGCGCCGGGCTCCCTCGGCGCTGGGGACTCTCCTCCCTCTTCCGACATCATCCGTCACATGCGCGGCAAGAGCTGCGTGCACATTCAATCAGTCCATACGAAAGCATTTCTCAATGCTTTCCTATGGACGTCAGCGTCTTCTCACTGTGAAAATCACAGTGAGAAACGCGGGAAGTGCTTCTAGCGGCTGTCAATGAAAGCCACTAGAGGCTGGATTAACCCTATTGTAAACATGGCAGTTTCTCTGAAATGCTATGTTTACAGCAAAAAGGGTTAAACCTAGATGGACCTGGCACCCAGACCACTTCATTGAGCTGTAGTGGTCTGGGTGCCTATAGTGGTCCTTTAATGATACCTGCTAGATTTGAAAACCTCGAAGGAAAAGGGTGTGACAGTAGTCTTCAGTTATCTACTTTGAGATTTATTTAGGTTCAGGAGAGAAGTTTGTTTAACGTGGAGTCCGAGACAAAAAAAATTGACTGGATAATAGTTGCAGCACGGCAGACTGAGGGAGCTGTGAGTGAAATTACTGTTTTACAGAAATTGTAGTACATACATGAAATAGCCTTAATAAATACAATAAATCTATGAAGATGCCTTAATTCATTTATTGAACATGAATAATGAATATATAGAGGTAAACATTCAGGATTAATGTTGAAATGTTTATTTGATTTAGGACAAAAAACGTTCAGTAAATTGATGTTTTACATTCTATTATAAACGTAATACATTTTCCTGAACGGGATAGTGGTCCATGTATTACAAGCTCTATTAAAATCTCATGTGGCTGGGATGGTACAAGATGGGAAAAAAAGGTTACAAAAGATTATGTTGGGAAACTGTCAACGGAACATGAAGTTGCTGTCTGGAGAAAGGTGGGTACAATCATATTAATTCCTGTAAAAATAAATTAAAAACAGACCAAAGATTTGGAGGGTTATTTTGTCTAGAGATGCTGTAGCTTATACATTTACTAAAATATTTTTTTTTCAAAAACATACAGTAACTTTCTCATTATCACTGGTAAAATATGGCCAGTTTTTGATACTGAATAGATTTTTCACCTTTGTATGTGAATTAGTCCAATCATCCATTGTCGTTTTGAAAATCTGAGTGTCAAAATTAGATCGAGCAAAATAAATCCAGTATAATGAGGTTAGGAGATGATTGCAATACATCTATTTTTGGGAAGACAATACTTTTTCAACAATTGCTAAACATTTGTTTTCCAAATACATATGTGTAAAAAAAATAGAAGCGTATTTTTATAATTGCTCTTTTCAAGAATCCCAGCCAAAGTCGTGCCCAGTCATTTGGTAGAACTTCATATTGAATGGTCTGTAGAATTCTCGCAGTCTCTGCACCACCTCCGGGTTGATAGTGGGATGGGTCCTACCCTTCGTTTTCCCTAAACAGTGAGGTTTGCTGCTCCCTTCTGCTTTTTTCAAGCACGGGAAGCCTTTAGTCTTATTGAAATAGAAATGTTTGTCGGTAATGATCCTCTTAAGGCCCAGGAAATCCTGAACACGTCCAAGTTCCCCAGCAGGGTCTGTTATGAGTCTCTCCCCACTTACAAAGAGGATCTGACCCATAGGAAAATCTAGTAACCAGTTCTCCAAGTGCTTGGCGTAAATGCCGATCTGAATGGCGCTCCATGACGTGTCTATGAGACCTGTAGTCCTGTTTTTGAAAGTCAAGCTCTCAAATGAAGGGATGTCTGGCCGTTTGGAGAGGGTTTGTGTATAGTCAGAGATTACTCTAGTTACAGGGTCCCTCACCACCACTATGAGCTTGGCATCCTTGGACATGGCAGATATTCTAGCCGGGGCCTCCTTGGTGACAAAGTAGCTGGGAGTCTTCTCCATAGTGATTTGACCATCCAACGTCCTTGGCATCAATTCTCTACAAAACAAACAAACAAACCATAATGAATTACTTCATTTAATATCTGGGGTCTCTCATCCTTTTAATGAATTTGTTATTTTTAGAAGTGCAGGATATTGATGTTTCGGACATTGGACAATGAGATATAATCTTAGTTTATGAACTTGGACCCTATGTGTTGGTCAGCCCTGCAGCATATTGAATGTTTTAAGACATGATGCAGACACAGATGAAAAAAGTAGATATGCTAAGGGAACTTCAATAATAAATTAATTTGGGGTTAGAGACTAAATTCTAAGTAGACGAAAATATGATGTCAATCCAAGTGTGCCACAATGTAACTATTGGCTAGGATTCATTCAATGGTGCATGATGAAAGTATGAGTCACTATGTATTTAGAACTGCTTGCTATAATATATATATAAAATATGGATTTACCACTCATTAAATAATGCAAAGCATTACATGGGCTAATTTACTGACTTTTTCATTTTTGAGTTACACGTTCTGACATATTTGTCTTGCAAGTTGTTCCAAGATCCTATGGAAAGTAGATGTCTTTATGGAGTAAAATTGTATTACTTTTATAGCTGTATACATTCGCTGTCTCCATCCTGGAATGTTTGCAAAATCCCAGAACATGTTTTATTAAAACACGATTTGCTATTTGTTGTGTGAAACCAGAATGACTAATTTTTTTAATGTGCACTAATGAAACACAGCGGGGCACGATGCAAAATTATTTTATTCAACCTTCAAGTCTGCATAAAAATTTTTTTTGCAATGCAGCCAGCTGGAAGGCTGTAAGAGGGAGCCTTGTAAAATGTTTTCATCTGGTTCCTGACTTTGCCATTGCAAATTAGATTACGAGAGATGGCAATTTAAAATTCAAAAAATGCTAAGGATAAGAGGTTAGTTATTCGTGTTTAAAAGCTTCACAGTGGAAACTCCTTTAAAAATGCACAAAAGGTTCCAAAACAGATAAAAATTAGGAGATTGTATTGCTATAGTGGGGCAAACAAGTGATCTATAATTTGTGATTACCTCTTAATGGTTAACCCATAGCAAGCAAAAAACTACAAATGCTCACTGTATAAGCTGAACTAGCTTTGAACTACCCTGCTCAGCTGTTGTTTTGTGCATACTATCTGCAATTTGGAGTAAATTCAAAAAAACAGGAATTGTGTAGATTAAAGGGACACTATAGTTACCAAAACAACTTTAGCTTAATGAAGCAGTTTAGGTGTATATAAAACGTCCCTGCTGTCTCACTGCTCAATCCTCTGACATTTTGGAGTTAAATAACTTTGTTTATGAACCCTAGTCACACCTCCCTGCATGTGACTTGCACAGCAATCCTAAACACTTCCTGTAAAGAGTCATCTAAAGTTTATCCTTCCTTTATTGCAAGTTCTATTTAATTTAGATTTTCTCATCCTCTGCTAGACCCTGCAAGAGCCTCCGGTATGTGATTAAAGTTCAATTTACAGAGCAAAAGATAAAATTGTTTAAGGTAAATTACATCTGATTGAAAGCAAAACCAGTTTTCTTTTTTCATGCAGGCTGTGTCAGTCATAGCCTGGGGAGGTGTGACAAGGGCTGCAAAAACGGAAACAAAGAGATTTAACCCCTAAATGACAGTGAATTGAGCAATGAAACCTGAGAGGCATGATCTAAACACTAAAACTGCTTAATTACGCTAAAGTTGTTTAGGTGACTATAGTGGTTAAAATTGTTTAGGTGACTATAGTGTTCCTTTAAGAAAGAAAATTTCAAATTCTAGACCAAAACTCAACAATTGAAATTCCCTTTTCATTAAAAAAAAATATAAAAGTCAGGTACATTTTTAGTGTGCGCGTTAAGGCAAAGAGTGCAACTTTCTTCCCTTTTATCCTTTCTGTTTTTTTTTATTTTTATTGGGATGAATTTACTAAACGCCAAATGTTGGTGAATTAAAAAACAAACTGCAAAATTAAGGCAAAATAGCTACGTTGGAGAATGTTTCCAAATCTGCAGTGTTTGCCCTAGCAGATTATGCATTTTAGTTTTTTTTTTTAATTCACAGCAATTTGCAGGGGTTCCCAACCCAGTCCTCAAGTACCCCCTATCGGTCCAGGATTTAGAAGGAAAAAAAACACTTTAGACACAACAGGGTAATCCCTAAATCCTGGACTGTTAGGGGGTACTTGAGGACTGGGTTGGGATGCCCTGGTCTAAAGGATCACTATTTGGGCCTAAAGAAACACTATAGTGTCAGGAATACAAACGTGTATTCCTGACACTATTGATTTAAAACAGCCGTTTTTGTTCCTATCCCCCTTGTCCCCCTGTTAAAATGGTGACTTACCTTTTTTCTGCACTGTGTGAGTATTCTTACGGCTGGCCCCGTTCCCTCTGTGCTTCCATGGCTGAGATTATCACATTTGATGTTCTCAGCCAAACCAATGCTTTCCCATAGGAAAGCATTGGGAGGCTATTGCGCATGTGCCAATCAGCATCTCCTCATAGAGATGTATTGAATCAATGCATCTCTGGGGTTAACGTTCTGCACCTCCATGCAGAGTGTGGTGACGATAAACTAAGCAGCACTGACCCAGGAAGCACCTGCAATTCTGCAGGGACTGGAAGTAGACATTAACACAACTACATTAAGCTGTAGTTGACCTGGTGACTATAGTGTCCCTTTAATACCCAGGATATATTTGGAAATGGTACAAATATCAGTGTTCTTTGTAGAGCAGTGGTTAGAGCTTTGGTAATGTTACTGCCCTAAATGTGGGGATTATATGTTAAAATCCTGATTTGACCACCCCACCAGTAGGTATGCCTGGCCTAGACACCTAACAATATATGTCCACCTAGCTCATTTGAGAAGAGCATTCTTCACATCTAAATATACATTTTCTATAATTGTAAAGTGCTGCAAAATATGTTGACACTATAAAAATTATAATTAAAAAATACTTTATAGACTTACTTAATTGTAATGTTTCGCACTGATTGTAACAAAGTGTAGTAATTCCAATATATCTCAATACACATTTCTTGACAGCAGATTCTATGAACATTCCTTAATAGAAGAGAGCACATTGCTTTTTAATATCCCTTTAACACAGCTACCGGGTGTAAGTGCCTGTAATATGATTATTGAGAAACTGACAGCTGCAGTAATTGCATCAGAATTGTTATTGTGAAGTAATAATCTCATGCCATTCTCAGGGAGGTGTGAAGGTGCAGGGGACCCCTTTACCGTATTACCAAAGATCCAAATCTACTGCTCATTTTGCAAACAGACAATTAGCACTTCAAATAATGAAGTAAACCTCAAACTGACATACAGAGCCCAGGGCACCTTGTATAATTAGTCCAATTTGCTAATGCTACAAATCGGTAATTTGTCTTGAAACATGTAAGTCTCTTGGGGATCTTAGTGAAATATTACAGGCTGCTACTCGGAATCTTGTAGAAACATCAGTGGCTGATACAGTAAAAGGAACTTAAATTTCATCTGGCTGCAATAAGGGGTCTGTGGAGTAGAGGGACATGCTACATAAGCAAAATCAAATGCGCAGTAACACAGTGTCAATTGTTACATGTGCAGACCAACCAAAAAATGACTTCCGCCACCCACGGAGCAGACATGAAATCTTACCCCTGAAGCAGTAGAGAATCGGAATCCCACCACACTCCCATGTAAAATGAGGACCATAACACTCTCCGTGAAACCGGAAGAGAATAATGACTGGTGTCATTTCAAAAAAATGTTGCAGGCTGACCCCGAAATGTTTAAAAACAGACAATTATGCGGCCTATAAAGCTGTCTGTTTCTGGAGAGCACATTGTAGGTCAGTGTAAAGAACACATGTGTCCAAGTAGTTAGATAAAACTTTATGAAACATAAAAGCGGATTACTGTAAATAGCAGCCACAACAAGAAAGAATCTCTCGGACAGATAAAGATCTGGATAGATACGGAAAGAAAGAGCGACAGACCGAATTAAAGAGAAAGATTGAGAAGGCTGTTCACTAAACTGAACTGCCAGAAATTAAAAGCGATTTTCTAATTTTTTTGTTCAAAATAGTAACTTTGGAACAAGATGATCAGTTATGTATGTTTTAAGTTCAGCTATTTTGGTTCAAATTTTTAAATTAACTTTGAATTCTTGACACCTCACCCATTACGGAATAACCTTGGCAGTATTTATGGCTACAGATGAGAAGAAAATGTTTGATGAACAAGATAAAACTTCTTAGAAATTTGGATGCTTTAAGAAATCACAATATTTGTTGAATGAGCGATTTGTTTTAAGGATTTGAATCACCACGACATCAGCATAGTTTGTAACCAAGAGGAAGCTATACGTGTTGTGAATTTTGTTTTCATTTTTTTTCTGAATTACTGAGTGAATTGTTGCTATGTCAACATACATACATGCATCCCAGTGTGCGCAGGCACGGATAATATAGATTGTTAGATAAACAGGGCAGGAACTTTGACTGTCAGATTACTCAGATAGCTTGCTTGTAGAATATTATACGGATATTTAAAGAGCATGAAACTCTGATACAGAAATGAGAGAAAGAACCAGTGCTCGATAAGAAAAATGGTTTTATATTTGCTCTAATAGACGATATAACTAGTCAAGAATGCCTATTACTTCCTACATACGACCTTGATGTGCTGCAGGATGACCTTGAAAGCGAGCACTTGTTTTGGAAGCTATATTCCGTAGAGCTCTCTGCCTAGCAGGCAGCGAGACTGTTTCAGGACATGAAAGGCATCTTCTTGATAAGAGCTTGTAGCGTTATCAGAGTGGCTTTACAGAGACCGCTAAAATAAGGCTAATTCCAGTATTATTTGAGCCGACTCGACTACACCTCACATCTTTCTACGTAAAGATGGATTCATTATTCCTCAGCTGGGGGTGTTGGGAAAAACCACGTGATACATTATAGCAGCTGTACCAATTAACCAAGCTAATACTGAATGATAATGTATCATTGTGGAAGGTTATTTCAAAAGGAAGACAAATGACTGAAATGTTATTGCTTCCTGCTGAATAATAATTACACAACAGAGATGTCCTCATAACATGGAGACAAATTGAAGTCAACTCTGGGAGTCTATCTTGGCCTAGCTAAATTTCAGTCCGAAAGATTCTTATATCAATATCGAGCTAATAGCTTGCACTGGTCAGTTCATGTCATTATTACAAACTATGATGTATAATACACTATAATGATCCCAAACAAATTATTATTAAATCTTGACCAATACTAGAACGGACAAGGAATAAATTCAAATGGATATTTAGGGGGCGGGGCTTGACCTCTAACATGGCCAGATGTGTTTGCCTGTAGCCCCCCACGATCTGGGCCATTACTACTCAAATACGGTGCATATTCCGCAGAAAGTAAACTATGAGCTGATGCTCCAAAAGCCGAGCATACCTTGTTGAGTCCAAATCGGGGAAGTCTGCTGGACATCGCCTGTGTCAACGTCTGAGGCCTACTGCATCTGACGCGCTGATGGTGTAGAGACGCGGCCGATCTCCTAGCAGTAGGCGTGCAACTCACTACTGAACGCTCAGAGCCCCATTAATCCCCCTTTGGACCGGTGGGGGATATCCCAGTCCCTACTGGGTTAGCTAGGCCAGTTCCTGGGAAACTAGCAGAGCAATCTTGCAAGTCACACGGCTCGTCCAAGATGGTCGCCGCACTGACACCTCAGCACAATCAAATGAGCCTGTCAGGCCAGAAGTGGAGAGAAAGCTTCAACGCCAGACTTGAGGCAATATACCAGGCCTTCTGGGATCGTTTCGCTAAGCGACAACCCACACTCACCCCTCAAGTGTCGCAGACAGCCTGTGAAGCAGTATCGGTTACCTGTTCCTCTTCTGGGCTGGGGGCCCAGCTGGAGTTCCCTCCATGCTGCAGTCCATACGCCCATGGAAAAGACCGCATTCCGTGAGACCCGCGGGTCCACGATCCCGCCGTTCAGAACAGGTGGATCCATGGACCAAGGGCACTGGCTCCCTTCAAGGCCCGGAACCGAAGCTACAGGGATCCGCTGCACTACGGGCTACTGACAACCCACCTGTCGCACACACACAGCACCACCCTACAGGCCCTGTGCCGGGGAGAGGGAACAACATACCTAACATGAAGATGGATTCTCTGTTATGGCCTGCACGAGGGGTTGGTTGATTACGGCCGACGATAAATCTCTCTATAGAACTCTTGTTGCCTGAAATTTAAATTAATGATGTGCTCAGCGTTGATAGTTGCTATTTCCCCTACCCTTCCGCTACCTACTAACACCCAGTGGTTTCACTGCTACTTAATCACCCAGTCAGTCAGCTTAGTCAGGTCTGACATGCATATTAGTGAAGCAGCACTGTTCTTATCTATGGTCTTTACCTTATCTAGCTTGCTACCTTACAATCTCTATTATGTGTACCTAAGCCTGAAGATCCTCTAGTTAGCAATGGTTGAGCTGTGACATGTAGCTTAGTTCCAATTCCACATTACTGTTTCTACCATACTTGTTCTTGCTCTTGTGATCTGACATCTAAGCATGTTTAATATTTTGTATACTGACATGATTAACTCCTTTATTCTCATATTCTAAAAATGTGCAAGTCTCATCTGTTACCCAACTGTAATACGAGATGCCCAGCCTGAGGAATGCCGCTGGGGTACCTCAAGCATGTTTGTAATTCCTTTATGCACGACAAAAATACAAATGAAAAATAAATAAATTAATTAATTAATGGATATTTAAGTTAAACCTCTGATATTCTTCAAATACTGGATACTGGGGCACGTTGGAAATCTAAATGCATACAGGTCTTTGCTTAGCAATTGTCCTGCACCCTCTGAGTGTTTTAGGGCATCATGACTCACCCATCTGGCATTGAACGGGTTAATGATTTTTCATAAGAGCATTCCTTAATACCTTATCTCTCACTTTGACTTACACAATAGTAACTACGGGGCTGATTCTTAGCTTGGCAGATTCAGGAATTTGCGACAAATTACTTTTTATGTAAATTACTCTATAAGCGTGAACTGAGGAAATGTAACAGATTTGCTATGATTGGACTGTGTGGATAATTTGCCGTAGAAAATGAAATTATTACCTACAAATGTTATGCTAAAATTGTCTTTTCTACAAAAACAGAGCTAGCCTTTATTGATGGAAAATACAGAGTTTAAAGTTACAGGAATTCCTTAGATCCAGCAGTATATCAATTGAGGCCACAATCCTCCAGATCTTGGTCTGTCTGTGCCCTATGGCACCCCTTTCCTTGGTTATCTAGAGCGGCTGCTGTGAGGCAGAGAAGTGCCTCAACTCTCTTTGTGGGTCAAGAGATGTGGGAGCACTCCACGTAGACACCCCCTGCAGCCTATAATAGGATGAAAGGCTAGAGCTTCATATGGGATGGCAACTGGCACTAAATTTGCCACCTCAGTGGGGCACCTGCCCCCATTCCTTTTCCCTGGCATTACTTGAGATTTCTACTGGCATATGCAGCAATTCTCTGGTTTGACCATAAAGGTTCCATATTTGGTAGCGGAGTCCCAGATAACCAAAAACAGCGTCTTGTAGTTGTGTACAGATGTAATGAATGACATCTGCCTGTCTTTTTCCCAGCCTGGCCCAAGATATTACTAAAACCTGTGTGCCAACGTTTTGCTCTTTCCTCAGTACATCCTCGGTCACTGATCTACCAATGTTTCAGGTGTGTCTACTGTCCACAAGGCAGCCAATGGGATATCATGATAACGATTGTTAATAAAAAAAAAACATGAGTTGTCCCTTCTCTGGAATGCTTAACCCCTTAAGGACACAACTTCTGGAATAAAAGGGAATTGTGACGGAATATTTCCATCATGTGTCCTTAAGGGGTTAAAAAGTCTATTTAATCTTACTTTTGTAAAATGTGCTTTAAATGTAGAGCAAAACCATTTCTTTTATTTGGACCATTTTTGGTCCTAGAATGCTAATGTATCCACTTTTTGAGGACATTTGCTACAATAACACCAGCATTCTATCAGATTGAAATCGCTTGGAATTTTCACTACATGAAAAACACACAGTCACATTTGTTGGAAGGTGCCTACCTTTTTAAGGTGTGCTATTGGGAGGAGATGGGACATGGTTACATTGTTGTCATTGTCTTGTTTTTACCTATGGCTCATCCCTTGTCCTATCTATTCTTCACTATTTTGAAAGGAGGGGCTGAGAGCACCTATAATATGCGTGCCCTATAGCAAGGTAGGTATCCCTTGAAACTCCAAATGCTGTAGGCTACTATCTTTGCCAGCATTACGGCCGTAAGAGCGTCATGGGAGATCTAGTCCGCAACATCTGGAGTACCGAAGGTTTCCTGCCCCTGTCCTATTAAATTAGCCCTGATTTTCATCTCATTTGCTGATTCACTTTCTGGTAAACTGTATATTTATTATTAAAGTTATTAAATCGGTAACTAATACTTCCTCAGAAATAATTATTTAGGAAATTATAAACCCAGTAAAATAACACATACATTCCCATAAATGGATTATAGCTTTAAGTGTTATACAACCTCTTTCGAGTTGCTTCTCCCTCAACCCCCTCACCACCACCCCCTTCTTCACCCCCCCATCCATTTCTATTCATAGTTCTCAAGAACCGAGAATCTCTTTGCTTTAGCCTGGTATAATCCATCGTTAAATCAATTGTCTAATTGTGAAATTGCTCTGGCTAATTGGAAGCTGTAATGGGCTCATGCCTTCGTGTGTCACAGGCTCTGAGAACAGATGGGGCATTTAAGGCATTAGCAAAGCTCAGATTCTATCAATCAATTACAGTACGTGACACTTGTTGGGCTTTCAAAGGCTCTGTGCCAGTCTGCCACATTAACCTTCCTTAAATGACATTAAAGGACAATGAGAAGAAGACCATTTAATAAGACGTATAATTGTGATGACTGTTGCTCCCATCATCCTCAGCCAAGACTAATAATAATAACAAGTGTTAGCTTTCATGCATTTCCTAATTTTCTGATAATAAATACACACATCATTATCAGGGTTGATAGTATATAGATTGTTATTAAAGTTGATATATTAATTTGTTTTGTCTTAACAAAACAGAGTATTCACAGTATGTTATCGTATCCAACACTAATGATTTTGGAGATACTTTGTTTGGGAGTATGTTAGCTTTAGAACACTCAGATAAGTGCAACTGTTACAAAGTTAAAGGGACACTATTGGCACCCAGACCACTTTATCTCATCGAAGTAGTCTGGCTGCAGTGTCCCTGTCTGTTTTACCCTACTATCAAACATTGCAGTTTCTAAAATTGTTTCTAGTACCTGTTTTAATTATCAAATGCTCGAGGGGACTTATAAAACTATTAACACTAAAGTGTTAGGAATACAGGTTTGTATTTCTAAAGCTATAGTGTTCCTTTAATCATTCATCGGCCTTGTGCTTCTTTCATTATTTTATCTTATTCTAAAGTGCTCAGAATGTAGCTGTTAAGGAGCCATGATCTAAGATGTTTTCAAGCAGTGTGACATAATGTGGGGCTTTTACTTCCTTGTTACCTCTCCAAATTTGGACAGGAATTATAGCCTGCGGGCACTGGGTAATATGCTTTAGTAGTTATGGTACTTATCATGTCCCTTTAATACATATTTATAGTTTCAGCCTAGTCTGATAATGCATGTCTCAGACTGCCAATAACAGTTACAAAAACCGAGAATTCCTTCAGTTTATCAATGATGATCAGACTTGGCACCCAAGATTTTTGTGAACCAGATTTCTCATCTTACTTATCCAGCTTACAAATGGGCTAAGCATCATGGCAAATGCATCTCACAAATATCTTGTGTGCAAAGGTTGGCCAATACTGATCTGGGCAACAAGGGGTTTCACCTGTGATGTCTCCTGTTAAAAGAAGCAAATTAAGGACTATTCATGGTTTATTGTCCCATATATCAATCCAAAAAATTGTGTTTTAAGCTATATCTGGTAAGACTCCATGAACATTTTGTTTTTTATTCAAGTAGCATACATTGGCCTGAAGCTCTGTTTACATCTTGTCCAGCTTTGCTCCCAAAATGACCTCTCTTTGGCCAGAGACCTTCTCCTCCCTTTTCCAGTGATATTTTGGGGGTGGGTAGAGGTGATCAGAGGAAACAGTGGGCAGGAAATAAGTAGTATGAGTCGTGGCCAGATTGCGGGTAGGGAAATTTAAACCCCCCCTGACTTGGACAGCAGAGCTGTACCTTGGAAAACGGAAAATCAATTCTCAGTCCTGAAGCTCTTGCGGCAAATCCAGAGAGGTCCCATGCATGCTTATGGGCACATGGGGTGTGAATTTGGCCCTGGTTGCACTGAGTAGTCATTTTAGAACCTTAAATGAGATACAATTACCGTTTTAAAGTTAAAGATAGCTAAAGCAGACCATAATGCCATCACTGCCAATGATTCCTGACCTCTTCTTGTAGAGCAGGCATTTCCCAGTTTCCGTTCTCACTAATACTGTTTGATTTGTGCAGTCTGGATGACATTGTGTATCCACATGAGGCTGTTTTTATGCTTCCTGTGTACACATCCGAGAGTCTGCTTTTATTTCTTCCAAATGTGTAAAGACAGACAGATGGTCTATATTCATTGGATAAATAGCATTCCACCATTGACATTTTTTCTTTATAGCATTAATTTATTCTACAGATAAGGTGGATTTATTTGCTTACCCTAAGAATACAGAGAGTCTCCTCAACTATAAGCAAAACATTAACTTGGTTACTCTGTTCACAGGAACCCGACCGCAGGGACCTACTGCGAAATTTACCATCTAAGGCTGACCTAGCCAATATGCTAGGCAAACTTGAAGCCTCCATCCAAACAAAACTGGACGAGCTAGGATCCGATCTCAGGCAGGTAGGCCACAGGGTCACTGACCTGGAGGAGGATAGAGATGTGACTCACTCCCAGATTTAACACCTCACTTCTACTATTCAGTCTCACTCCCACATGCTCACTTATCTTTAATGAACCATCGATGACCTGTATAACATGGGCTGCAGGAACAATCGCCGGATCCGCGGCATACTGGAAGGCCGGAACAAGGATATACCAGCGATCCTGACTGATTTATTTAATCAGCCACTGATATGCCAATAGCATTTGATAGGACCCAGACAGAGGGGTGCAGAGACAGAGGCACCAAGTGATATCATCTGCCGATTACATTATTTCACTGTAAAAGATAATATCCTGCGAATGCAATCCACCTCGCACCCACTCCTTTATCAGGGTAACCCGATTGAAATATACCCTGACCTGTCATGGCTCAGACTCCAAGCACACAGAGCCCTAAAACCTGTAACAAAACAGCTGCGTAAACGCAATCTGAAATATAGATGGGGCTAGCCTTTTGCCTTGATTGTAATACATAGTGGAACCACGCACACTATATACACTTACCCAGACGTGCGGCCCTTCTTGCAAGCGCTGGACCTGCCCGACACCCCGGTCATGGACTGGTATCTGCCACAAAAGGCTCAAGACGTCTCGCACCTACCACAACGTACGAGATGGAACACCCTATCAAAGAACCGGAAAACGGACATCCCGTATGCCTCACCTGGAAGGGGATCCTCCGCTAGCCAGAACCTCTCTTAAACCATGGGACTGTGAGTTTTGCCCTCCTCAAGTCTGAGGACTTCTGCAATGTTGTACTTATGGCAGTTCTCCCTGACTAAACTCTGAGACTGACCCGGGGAGCGGTGGGGACATGATCGTGATCGCGACCTACCATCCGCCATGAGGAGCACTCAAACCAACCCATACTGGGACAGATAAAAAAAAATAGAATGATTATAATGATGGGGGAGGACGGGGGAGACTCCAACAATTCAATTCAATTAAGTGGGGACTTTGCCTCTATTTCCTGTATTTTAATTTACCTATAGTTTATTTTATGCTATATGATTTATGTAAATTTACTTTATCTTAATCTTATTATTATTATTCTATTTGATTTTTCATACCCACTATATTCCAGACTATACTCACGGGCGCCAAAGGGAGATTTAACTAGGGACCGTAATCGGGTTATTTAGAGGTCTTGCCTCCAATCCATATAAATAAGCTTCTTGGATGGCACCCCCCCTTTCTGAGTAACCCCGCTGGCCCCCTAATATGGGTACTACTCTCACAGAGTAGCTCCACAGCAACAATACCATCTAACCTCTATCCTTTGCTAACTACCCCTCTCCTCCCCCTTCCTCCTTTTTCGTAAAGGGAAAGATAGGCAACGCGACTCTCACCTTAGCGAACGTGTATCTCCCGAATAAAAAACAGTGCTAGGCACTGCGCAAAATCCTCACTAAACTGGATCAATTCCAAGAAGGCATTCTTATTGTTGGGGGCGACCTTAACATTACCCTAGACAATTTCCTTGACACAACAAACACCTCCAGGGATTATCTAGCACCTATCTAGCACCTGCTCGCAACACAACTCCACTCTCTTCTACATGACGCAATACTATATGACAGCTGGAGAACCCTACATCCCATAAATAAAGACTATTCCTTTTACTCCCCCCCCCAACAGGAATATATACACGCATTGATATGCTCCTTCTCCAACACAGATACCTACATCTCATTCGCTCCTGCTCCTATGGTTCAATCACGTGGTCGGACCATGCACCCCTGTCTCTTGCCATGTCAATCCCTTCCTTGCCCCAATCTTCTCCACAATGGAAATGAAACGATCTCCTCCTCAATAATGCAGACACGGTTGCGCAACTAAAAACCTTTCTCACTAGATTTTTCGAGGAAAATAAACAACCCGATACACTCAACACCTTTATCTGGGAGGCACATAAATGTGTAGCGAGGGGAGAACTGATTAAGAAGGCCGCAGCTCACAAACGTAAAAAGGAAGAACAACTCTCTTCCCTAACAACCGACATAAAAACCCTAGAGGACCAACACAGACTAAACAGATCCCTAGACACTTACAAGACTCTTATAGCTAAGAGATCTGAACTCACGACTCTCTTAAATCTACAATCTAAATAAACACTTTTACGGACCAGACACACTTACTACACGCAGGGAGGCAAATGCGGACGCTTGTTAGCCCAATCCTTACGATCAAACAGGCAAACGACATTCACATTTTGATGCTGAAATTGCGTTTGACAGGGTGGACTGGTCCCTGATGTTAGCTACACTACAACAAATGGGTTTCAGAGATAATTGGCTCAGTTGGTTATCTACCCTGGTTCCTATTTCTAATGGCACGAGACAGGGGTGCCCCCTGCCCCCCTCATAGGGGGGTGGAACATAAAACCTCCGCTTTTGCAGCTGACTTACTTTTTTTGATTTCCAACCCAATACAGACAATCCCACAAATTCTAGAGGAAATGTCCACTTACACTAGGATATCAAACTTCCAAGCCAACCTGACCAAATGCTAATTGCTCCCAATATGTACAGATGCTTTCACTGACGCAACACTTTTTGCACTTCTTATGGGCTCCAACAGTTATTAAATACCTGGGAATAAACCTACCCCACACATTAAGCTGGACATATGACCTGAATTTCTCGCAGCTGCTGACAGCACTTTCCACTAACTTAAACCGCTGACATTTACCACAGCATAGCTGGTTCTGTAGACTTAATATCCTTAAAATGAATGCACTTCCACACATCCTTTACCTACTCCAGGCCCTCCCGATAACCCTCCCGAAGCACTTCTTCACCTCTACTTGCAATTTTTTCTCGACATTTATATGGTCCCACAAACACCCCAGACTTGCGTACACTCTCCTAACAAGACTGAGAAGAGAGGAGGTTGTAGGACTACCAGCTATAGAGCTTTATTACAAAGCTGTTCACCTCTCCAGACTGTATCACTGGACCCAAAAAACGTTACCACCACAATGGGTCACACTGGAAGACTCCTTTCTTCACATTCCTATACACACTGCCCCGTGGCACAAGTCAGGCCACATGTTCCTCTAACATAAAGGTCACCAACTATCCCGGCCACGATCAGGATCTGGGATTCCATCAGGACCTGGAGGGATTTTTCCCAATACCCGTCTCCGCTATACCCTATCTCCCACAACCCACTCTTCCGAGTTGGACTATCGTGCAAAACCTACAAAGAGTACCACTCTACCCCCAAAACTCACGCTCCACTCTATCCTCCAAGATAGGAAGATAAAGACAATAGCCGCAATTCTCCCACAGGTACCTCACACAGGTACACAACAATACCATTACACCCAATTGTCACACTTTATCCAAGGTATCCACTTGCTACCGACGGAGCTAGAGATCTAACAAAGTTAGAACTTATGTGCTCATCTCACCCCCTTCAGAGAAATGTTCTATCGGTTATGTATGCCTTCCTCCTAACTGCCCAAGCCACTGCCCTGCCACACTATACTGCGAGTTGGTCGCAGGAATTACTGCTACAAGTAACCGAGGGCCAATGGAAAACTAACTTTTTCCAAATCCATAAGACTTTTATAAGCCTCACAGCACAAGAGAGTAGCTATAAATGCATCAGTCGTTGGCTCTACACCCCAGTAAAACTGCACAAACTACACAATAATACACTAGATTCTTGTTGGAGATGCCATCGACCAGATACGAACCCAGCACACATTTGGTGGAATTGCCCACAAATTAGCAAACTCTGGGAACGCATCAGCTCAATACTACACACTATTACCGCAATAAAGCTCCCATTCCCATTTTTCTGTTTCTTCTGCTACCAAGCGGTCAGAGGAGACAGAAATCTCTGTTAACATCTCTCCTTCTAACTGCTGCAAACCAACTCATTCCGTTACACTGGAAGCATGCCAACCCTCCCTCACTGCGAGACTGGATTCAAACAAATGGAAGAGATCACCTACTCCCTCTCCAAAAACGACCTCACATTCCAACAAATTTGGAAACCATGGGACGTCTTTATACAAACGACCTCCCGCAACACAGATACCTGAATGATGCCATGGGCAAACTCTCACAATAAAATACTCTTAAATATATCATAGGCTATTTACATTGACATACAACAAAATAAGTGTAAATTTTAAGAACATAGACACTAATCGGATGACAAATTTATTTTTTTAACACAATAGTCACTAGACTAATTTATATAATATTGTCCTTTGGAACTGTCATCACTTGATCAACGGTCATTTCTCTTCCAACTTAAGAATTGAAATGACAACTTGACTATCCCGCCCCACCAAACAGAAACCCCAGATGCCTTTTTTTTTTTAAAGTCCCCCCGCCCCCCTCTCCTATCAGAGGCTTCATTAGTGATGTATATCTGTGTTCCTCTCTGCAACATGATCAAGGCACATGGCCCAACAGAAAATGAAATAAGCATAACTCAAATGGAGTACAGATAATAGCTCTTAGTCCTTTGGTATAATATTCACCACTCAAGAGCAACTTTGATATTTCTGCTAATACATTTTTGTCCAATTACACGTATGGGAGAACTATTTAAAAGCATTTCTAGAACTAAGCTGGCACAAGGCCTTGATTAACCTTGAGTTTTGACTCATGGGATTTCGTATGCACCTGATAATGAGATATTCGAGATTTTCGTCCAACTTAATTGTTCAATGAGCCTCAGCAAAATTCATCAGAAGCATTGGAGCTGTCCATTGAATGAATGCAGATATATCCCATTACAACTAATGTGAGGGCATATGCTATATTAATTTTTATCTGGCTAATCTGATCGTTTCACGTCCTTGTCTTTCCTGAACTTTCTTGCTGTGCCTGTTTTGTGCCACACGATGAGCCAAATAAAAATGCTGCGTATATTTATTTGCATTCTACGCTTTTCAGTCCCAATTACACCCAGTTCTTTGTGACTTATAACTGTGCTCATCACGGCTGGACCTCCTGATGTGTCACACTTATTAACTATATCTATGACAACTGTAAGGGGTGAGAATTATATGCTATTGCAGGAGTCCAATTAGATATATTGGTAAGTGAGACACTGCGAAAAAAGTAGGATTAACCTATCCTTTAAGAAAGAATGACATGTAGTACCATATCAGTAGGCTGGCTGAGGGTCATGGCAAATGTAGTTTATCAACAGCTGGTTTGCCATTCCTGGCGCATTGATATTTACAAACGGCTGAGTTTGTGCTGTGACTAACACTTGTCAGGAAACTGATCAAGTTATTGATTACTAATTTTCAGTATACCCAGGGACACAGCATGAAAAAAACACACAAAAAAAGAAATGTTTTTTTTTCTGGCATTTTAACTCTCCAGGAACCTGGACTGCTGGGGATTCCAGTCCAAGGTTTCACTGGCTCTGGATAAACTTTTTTCACTAAACCTGGTTTGTGCTTGTGGAAAACTGTGTTCTAATGCCAAGCAAAGCTTTCCATAGAGCCATAGAACATTTGATTTATTTCCCAAAGGTCTGTAACATAAAGCAGAAAGATTGATTGTAACCACCGATTTCTCAATCTAAGGTAATACATGTATTTATTATGCCTAGTGCTGATTGTGTAATAATATGAAATACAAAAGGGGGGAGTGAAACAAAGGAGAGACTTAAAAAAAACTGAGCCAAATAATTACAAGTATATATATATAGTGTGTCTCACCCAAAGATTCACCAGTGGCAACTGTGCTTGCCGAGGCCTGCTTTGTAAATTTCAGATTATAAACCTCTTAATCCATGGCTTTGAATAGTATTGGCTAAAATTAAAAGGACACTATAGTCACCGGAACCACTGCAGCTTAATGTAGTCATTCTGGTGTCTATTGCATGTCCCTGCAAGCTTTTTAATGTAAGCACTGCCTTTTCATAGAAATGTCAGTGTTTGCATTGCTGCCTAATAACACCTCTAGTGGCTGTCACTCAGATGGCCACTGGAGGTGCTTCCTATTTCAGTGCTGCGTTCAGAGTCTCCATGCTATGAAGGAGGCGCTGAAGAGTCTCCATGCTATGAAGTAGATGCACTGTGAAGACCCCAGCTCCTTAGTCCGACTCTACAACAAAACCATGAGAGATACCTTAGAAAGCATTGTACCAACACGCATACGCATTGTCAAAACCCACAACAATGCACCATGGTTTGATAGCGCCATCAGAGAAATGAAGAGAACAGGCCGTAAACTCGAGAGAAAGTGGTGCAGGGCACATGACCCAGAGGATAAAGCCACTCTTACCAAACATCTAAACGAATATCAATTCAAGATAACTCAGAAAAAAAATGTATCACGCAAAATTGCACTCTCACACAATAAACCCAGGCAACTGTTTCACAAAGTAGAAAGGCTCTGCAAACCAGCATGCATGCATATCCCCACCGGAGACTTCCCAGATCCTCTAAAAGAAGCTGTGGTAAAACCCCTCCTAAATAAACCTTTATTAGACCCGGACTGCATGACTAATTACAGACCAGTATCTAACCTTCCATTTCTGGGAAAAACAATTGAAAACGTAGCCGCAACTCAACTGGAGGCCCGTCTATCAAGCTTGAAAATCTTTGATCCTTTCCAGTCAGGTTTCAGATACCGCTACAGTATTGGAACAGCACTAGTATGAGTGCTAAATAATCTCCTTATGGTGAGAGACAAAGGTGATTACTCCATCCTTATCCTCTTGGATCTCTCAGCTGCATTTGACACCTTTGACCATAGGATTTTAATAGAGAGCTTGCAGCACATCTGTGGTCTAGGAGGAACAGTTCTTAACTGGTTTAAGTCTTTCCTCATTGGTAGATCACAGAGAGTAACATCAGGATCAAGCTTATTGTCACCAACAGAACTGGCCTGCGGAGTTCCACAAGGATCCATCTTTGTCTCCCATGCTATTCGCAATTTACTTGCTACCACTGGGGGACATCATTAGGCGGCATGGCCTAAGATATCATTATTACGCGGTTGACACACAACTCCACTTCTCCTCTACTCCAGATACCACAGACCCAACATGCCGCATCAACCTCATAGAATGGCTAGTTGGCTTAAATTGAACCCAGACAAAACAGAGTTACTCTTGGTGAGGGGACTCCAGGCAACAACAAAAATCCCATGATCACCCAACTGGCCTGGAGCTTGAAGGCTCTGAACTCATCAAATCACCAAAGGTGCGAAACCTCGGAGTGCTGATTGACTCTGGACTATAATTTAAACAGCAGATTTCCTCTGTAATAAAATCTGCCTACTTTCTGAAAAACATAGCTAGGATACAACACTTAATTCCACCGGATGATATGCCAACATTAATCCATGCATTTGTATCCTGTAGATGACTGCAATGTACTTTACTTGGGCCAGAAATCCATCACCTTCAGACTGTAAGAAATGCAGAAGCCAGACTACTGACCAATCAAACTCGCTCCTGCCACATAACACCTGTTCTCCACTCCCTGCATTGGCGTCCAATTAAAAGGCGAGACACCGTCCTTACAGTCTTTAAAAAAAAAAAAAGACTCACCTCTTCCATCGGGCACTCAGTCCACTCAGCTGACCTTCAGAAACCCCTAACTTTATGTCTTTATGTTTCTATACTTGTAAAGTGCTTTGAGTCTCCCGGGGAGAAAAGTGCTATAAAAATAAATTATTATTATATATTATTGTATATATTATATTATTATTCAATGCATTTCTATAAGGAGATGCTGATTGGCGCAGAGCAGCATTTTGCCGCGCATGCGTGATAGGCTCCCAATACTTTTCCATGGGAAAACATTGAATTGGCTGAGATTATCAAGAATGACGATCTCTGCTACGGAGACGGGGTTGGAAAGGTAAGTTTAAAAACCTTTTATCTCCAATCTGAGGGGGGCCGGGGACCTTTGCTGCTCCAGGACTATAGTGTTAGGAATACATATTTATATTCCTTTAAGTCCCCAGGCCCAAATCATTCTGAACTACCTTTCCCACGATGCTCAGTTAGCCCTAGAGCAAGAAGCATGCAATGACATAAATGGATTGGTGACGCAAGGTTTTCACCTGAGCACTATGGGAATCGTATTCCTGATGAGCCAGACGTCTCATGTCCGTAGAGGGAGGTATGTAAATAACCTTCTAATCTGCATCATCTGCTTGCTGCTGACATGGGGTCTAATAAATGATTTAATCACATGTTACATTAAGTTCGGCAACATCTCTGCTCCAGCTGTCTATGGCTGCAGGTTACAAATGATTTCTTTTTAATATAGAATTATCTGGCCTTTGCATATGGAAGCTGGGCTGATAACACAAATGTGTTTTAAGGAGCCCAGGCAGATGAAATATAGATCCGTAAAGTAGAGGTGTGCAGAGGCGGAAAGCAGCAAGCGGAAATGCTATTATTTTGATGTATACAAACTGCTTTGCATTGCAAAGTAATGGAAAAGCCTTCTGTGCTCAATTGCTGGTAATTTCCAAATACAGACAGACTGTGTATCCGGACATCATCAGGTCAAGCACTTTCAGAATTTATCTTTAAATTAATGAAAATTAAGGAGGTTTGCAGAGGTCCAGAATAAGTGGGGATTTCCCAGGTTCGTAATTTTTTGGAGAACTTAAATCAAAAGAGAACAACTAGTGATTTAAAATAATAGCGCACACAATAAATATTTTATATAGAATCTTTTTGTAGCAGGGCTTTTTTAAGCAAGATGCAAATAATATTTTTAATATGTAAAATGTACAGTATTTGTGCAATGGTATTTTTGACTACTTAGTGTATTAGATTTTTAACTTCTGTCGCAAAAATAGCCTCCCCACAATGCCACAAAAAGACACTGACAATGAGGTGTAGTGGTAACGTTTAAGTAGGTTAGTTTCTTATATCCTGATGAGGGCCAAGTAGCTGAGGGGTCATTGCTGGACTTACCCCAACCAAATTCACTATTAGACGTTCAGCTTGGATCTTTGTAGGATACATTACTGTGAGTTTTATTGCTGTGGAACTCTGTGATGTGTTTGTACACACTGCACATTACTGTGAATGAATGTTATTCAAGTGAAGCTCTATGATAATTCATGCACACTGCACATTACTATGAGTTTCATTGCCGTGGCGTTCATACATACCACACATTATGGTGGGCTTTATTCACTAGAAACAAACAGAAATCCAAATTAATTTTTTCCACACAATTATTTTACACTAACTATCATTCAATTTTTAGTTTGCAACAATTAGAGTTTAGTGAATAAACCTCTGTTAGTATAATTATTGTAGAGCTCTGTCATCCTGGGACTGCAGGGTAAGAACGAGAGACAACAGTCCCAAGAAGGACCACATGGTAGATATGAGGGACAAGGGTTCCAAGAAGGATTGCAGGGTGGTTATGAGAGACAAGGGTCCCAAGAAGCACTGCAGTGTAGGAATGAGGGACAAATGTTCCAAGAAGGACTGCAGGGTAGGAATGAGCAACAATGGTTGCAAGAAGGACTGCATGGTGGATATGAGGGACAAGAGTTCAGAGAAGTATTGCAGGGTAGGAATAAAGGACAAGGGTTCCAAGATTGACTGCAAGGTATTAATGAAGGACAAGGGTTCCAAGAAGGACTGCAGGATGGGGATGAGGGACCAGGGTTCCAAGAAGGACTGCAGGGTAGGAATGAAGGACAAGGGTTCCAAGAAGGACTGCAGGGTGGGGATGAGGGACAAGGGTTCCAAGAAGGACTGCAGGGTGGGAATGAGGGACAAGGGTCCCAAGAAGTACTGCAGTGAAGGACCGAGGGACAAGGTTCCCAAGCAGAATTGCAGGGTAGGAGTGAGGGACAAAAGTCCGACGAAGAACTGCAGGGTAGGAGTGAGGAGAAAAGTATCAAGAGGGATAGTGTCTCCAAAAGATGATTCCCTGGAAGGAGATTTGTCTGAAGGCTTACAGATAATTGTCTGTGTATCCTAGGCAGGGCCAGTGCAAGGATTTTTGCCGCCCTAGGCAAAAGTAAAGTTTGCCGCCCCCCCATATGACATCACAATGCCCCATGTTAACTAACGCAAGTGCTGCAGTGCCGCCGTGTTTACATTAAAAGGCCTGCAAGGACAGGCTATAGACACCAGAACCACTACATTAAGCTGCAGTGGTTCTGGGGACTATAGTGTTTCTTTAATGTGAGGTAAATTAGAGATTAGTGCCACGAATAATATACTAGATTGCCTACTTACAACCAGATGAGGATGGTGATGGGCTCTAGCTGCAGTCTGGCTCCACTCGTCTGGTGTAGAACAGGCTCTCTGGAGGCTGTTTGTGTTCTGGGAGAACGGGAAGCAGTTCCATTTTTTTAAGGCCCTTTACGCAGCTCAAGGTCTGGGCCCCAGGGTCCACCTTCATGTTCCACCAATTAGTTTGTTCACAGGAGTAGGGGATGTCCTGATATGTGTATAAGGAATGCATTGTGTGAATCTGTGTTTGTATGTGTAAGGGCTGCAATGTGTGTTTCTATGTATGTACGGAATGCAGTGTGCGTCTGTAAGGGGTGCATTGAGTGTGTGTAAGGGGTGCATTGAGTGTGTGTAAGGGATGCATTGTGTGTAAGGGTTGAATTGCTTGTGTGTGTGTGTGTCTGTGTGTGTAATGCATTGTGTGTTTTTCTGTGTGCAAGGGGTGCATTGTGTGTGTGTGATGGATGTCAATCTCTCCCCCTCCCTTGTCACTCTCTTCTCCCCCTCTCCCTCCCTCGTCACTCTCTTCTCTCCCCCCTTGTCTCTCTCTTCTCCCCCCCTTGTCCCTCTCTTCTCCCCCCTCTTGTCCCTCTCTTCTCCCCCCTCCCTTGTCACTCTCTTCTCCCCTGCGTGTCCCTCTCTTCTCCCCCCTCCCTTGTCACTCTCGTCTCCCCCGTTGTAACTCTCTTCTCCCCTCCCCACTCTCATTCCCCCTCCTAACCCCGTCAATTCCCCTCCCTGTCAATTTCTTCCCCCCCACCTTGTCAATTTATTTTCCCCCCTTTCAATTTATTCCCCCCACCCTGCCTGTCCATTTATTCCCCCACCCTGCCTGTCCATTTATCCCCCCCTCCTGTCCATGTATTCCCCGTCCATTTATTTTCCCCTCCCTGTCATTTATTTCCCCCCCTCCCTCCTGTCCATTTATTCCCCCCACCTCCCTGTCCATTTATTCCCCTTCCTGTCCATTTATCCCTCCCTCCTGTCCATTTATTCCCCTCTCCCTCCTGTCCATTTATTCCCCCCACCTCCCTGTCCATTTATTCCCCCTTCCTGTCCATTTATCCCCCCCCTCCCTCCTGTCCATTTATTCCCCCTCTCCCTCCCTGTCCATTTATCCCCCTCCCTCCTGTCCATTTTATTCCCCCACCCTCCCCTACCTCTATTGTGTAGCGTGGCGAGCCCTGTATGATCCATGGTACAGGGAGCTTTTGTTTCCTGTACCCGGCCGGACTAAAGGAAGTGAACACTCAGTGTGCACTTCCTGTTAGTCCGGCCGGGTACAGGAGACAGCTGCTCCCTGTACCCGCCGACTATACAGGGCTCGGCCACGCTACAGAGAGGGGCTGACAGGAGGGAGCGCTGAGCGCTGAGCATTTCCCTCCTGTCAGCCCCTCTCCTCAGGTTGCGCCCGGGCGGTGCGGTCCGCCCTCATGGACGCACTGCCCGGGCAAAGCTGCAGCCGCCTGCCTAGTCCGCCTAACAGGTAGCGCCGGCCCTGATCCTAGGACATTCTTGAAACTTAGAGAATATCACTATTTTTTCCTGGTTGGTTGGCTGAGCATCATGGAAAGTGTAGCTCAAAAATTCTCTGGTCTGTTCATTTTACTTATCACTTCTTCAGAGCTTTAGAATGTACCAGCTCCACGAGTCGGGTTTAGAACGAGCTGATATCTCTAAACTGCAATAAGTTTGTTGAAATTAATATTTTAGACCTTGATAAAGCTTACTAGAGAAAATCGCTGCAAATTTCACAATTACAGGCACAACGCAAACTCCAGATGCTATCAGACATCACAGAAAACCAATCTACAGCCTATTGCGGGCTGAAATCTTTCAGCTCATTGACTTGCTGGAGAACAAATATTACTGAACGAATATAATGATTCCAATCCCTTCTGCCTCGCAGTCTTAAAAGGAAAGATTCTCATCTAATATAAATAATCTGCCATTTATACTGCAAGCAGAATGTCAGATCTATTGATTGGCGTTATTTCACAGAATTGTTATATTAAATTATCTCACATCGGTTCTTCAAATAGAACAGGCGCCACTCTTGGGAATGGGCCTCAACTAGCTCTGTCAAACATTATGGGGCTTTTTCAGTAAGTGTTGGATTTTTCTTTTTATAAGTAAGAAAAAGCAGTCTAAAGAAAAACAATCAGTCGATAAATTAGATGCTTTCTTCATTATTAACTTGTGTTTCTATACCTTCTTGCATTTGGTAGGTTAAATATTTTTGTTGTGTTTTTTTGGTTGCTAATCCAAATATTGCAAGAATGGTTGACAGTTGAAGGATGATTTAACCCCAACATTCCAATTGGCTGTATCACTGATGGAGCACTATAAGCACAACTGACTTCAACGGATATGTTGCAGTTTTTGGGTGTAGTCTCTCCAGTTCTTGTCAACCTCATTTCAGGGGGTATAACAAAATTTGTGACAAACGTAAGCCCAGTCTTCAGATAATGCATGCATTTCTAGGCCATCTCCAGCGCTCCTAGACCACCATTGGTCTTCGAAATTGAATAGATTTGTTTGGATAAGACAGAAGCAAAACCACATCTGATTTATTTTCTTTCATTTTTTTTAATGTTGTCTTTTTGTTTTGTCTTTGTTCTTTATTTCCTGAATCCACTTCCAATACAAGTGATATATGTATTTATACTAATCAACACAATATGCACATTGTACAAAGTAGAGATAGTCAAACATAGAGACATAGAATGTGACGGCAGATAAGAACCATTCGGCCCATCTAGTCTGCCCAATTTTCTAAATACTTTCATTAGTCCCTAGCCTTATCTTATGACTAGGATAGCCTTATGCCTATCCCACGCATGCTTAAACTCATTTACTGTGTTAACCACTACCACCTCAGCTGGAAGGCTATTCCATGCATTCACTACCCTCTCAGTAAAGTAATACTTCCTGATATTATTTTTAAACCTTTGTCCCCCTAATTTAAGACTATGTCCTCTTGTTGTGGTAGTTTTTCTTCTTTTAAATGTAGTCTCCTCCTTTACGGTGTTGATTCCTTTTATATATTTAAATGTTTCTATCATATCCCCCCTAGTCTCGTCTTTCCTCCAAGCTATACAAGTTTTGGGGGAATTAGATCAACGACGGTATAAATCCGTAATGGGACTATAAATCTGTTAGCCCCCTAAGCAGCTTCCTGGGCAACTTGCTCTGTAACACCGTTTCTGCTAATAATAAAAATATCAACAGTAATTGCAACAAGTTTCACTTATAGAAAAAAGGTAATAAAAGTCCTTATAAAAAGAATAGTCCCAATGATTAAAAAGAAACCAGTCTGCTTCTAAATTCTATAAATAGTTGTCAACCCCTGGATTAACATAAGGTTTGTACACTGAGATATATTATCTTGCATTCCCCTAATATATAGATGCAAAATATGTTATAACTTTCAAATGAAAAGAATATATTTTAGTTACTACTCCCTATACTCAAGGATTTGTGTTCCTGCTAATCTAGGGTCTTTCTCCCGGTAGGACGAGGGCAGCGTTGATAAATAGCCCAACGTATCCCATGGATTTGTAGGCAAAGCACAGGTAACTTAAATCAGCTATAAGACTGATGACTAGGCTTTATATATCTCGATTGGGACAGCAGAGGATAGAATGGAAGGATTCATTGTCTAGTGATTTTTTTTTTCAGGGACTGATAAATAGGTTTGTGGATTTGTAACTCTCTGCAAACACTGAATGAAACATGGACATACAAATCAGGTACATATTAGAGTGTGAAACACAACAGGGATTATTTATCAGACACACACATTGCTGTGCTGTCTGCGAAAACTCTGCACCTGAGTCCACCTTGCGATTGTTTAGACAAGAATATTCATTTAACTCTTTGCGAGCTAGAAAGGTACGCTAGAAAGTTTTCACTTAACAAACGGTTGCGTTAACGACTAGGCAAGTTGTAAAACAAAAAGAAACAAAAATCAATGCGTTTAGCACTCATCTGGTTAAATGAATACCATGTGATTTAATTTGGCTTTGGTTCTGCATTGCAGAGACCTTAACACAAAGATATATCCTGCATTAAATCCAGCGGCGAGAAAATGGTGCTTCGGGCAGTATTAATGCATGTATTTTTTTCATGCTCTGCCGAATTATAGAAAGCAGGTGACATACCTGTTTCGTTTGGAATGTTTTATAGCAGCTTTGATTTAACTACAATGAAATGATTTGCAAATGCAGGAGAGGAATGGACTAAAACACTCTTTGAAAGGCCAGTCTGTCTCCCCAGCAATGAAAAATTCTTGCATGCTTTATGAAATAGTATAGATCCAAAATAATATATTACATCACTTATTTTATTAATTTATTACTGGCATTTATAAAGCGCCAACATATTCCGTAGCGCTGTACAATTGGGAAAAAGACAATAGATTATAAACAGACCAAAACAAAAGGTAGAGGACTCTGCCCGTGAGCTTCATGTAGGAATAAGTAACAACAATTGTATAAAGGGTCGTGCTTAAGCACCATAACAGCTCTGCATCATTGCAAAAGTTATGGTGCAGGGAGTCAGTCCCCCTGTTACTGAGTCACAGCACACTCCGGCTGATTAATGTACTATTTTGGAAAAATTGCTGCAGCTCTAAGACTGTCTCCTGAAGCAGTGACATCGAAGGAGGAATGTTACATCCCTCTTTGCTATTGAAGATCAGTTATATTTGTTTGTGTAGTCTTCATGCACAGTGTTCCTGCTGCAACATGGCTGCTATCAGCTCATGGCATGAGTTAACTGAATCTGGGGGGTAAACTGCATATCCTATAAACCAGATTTTCACTTAGACCAGAATCAGAATGCATTCAAATGTAGATCACATTCTGCATACAGTGTTCCTTTTAGGTGGCACTGTCTGTCACCGTCTGGTGTCTTCACAGAGGTTGCAAAGACCCCCGACGTTGACATCATCATTAGGGGTCGGGTGGCCGGGGGCAGGTAAAGGTGAGTTTTACTTACCTCATGGGCGCTGAACGCCATCTTCTCCCGGCAGGTCCTCTTCACCCCGTGTCTCAGTATACATTTTTTGACTAGGTTGGAATTCCAGTGACATTTCAACAAGATACTATCTTTATTAAAAAAAATATATATACTATCTTTATTATATACTCATTTTTCAGGGAGATGACCGTGCCGCTTTAACTAAAAGAGATTCAACATTCTGAGCCTAAAAGAAAAAAAAGGAAGATTGCTGAACCAGCATTAATTGGCCCTAAATGTTTGTTTGAATGTGCCTTGACCACCAGACCATGGTATTCTATGTCCAAATAAGATGCACATGGTATAAATGAGTGCTTTCTGGCTGTGTGTGCTGTTGATTTGTCAGCAGGATAGCGTAGGCTTGTTGTGGCCACCTCTCTGTATGATTTCCAGAAATCTTAGTGGGTGGGAAGTGCTCTGAATAGATGCATTTACTGTGCCCTTAATGGACTTCAAAAGGCTGCAATACTCTGTTTCAACTTGCGATCAGGGACTGTGTTAGGAGATGGATTTGAATGTAAGAATTGGCAAGCTTGACGTTCAACCCAATCGCTGCTGCCTTTCACCAGCTGAGTAGTGAAACACAAAAGCAGCCTTCTTTATAAATCGCCAGCGATAAACCCAGAGCATTAACAGGAAAGGGATTATACGCTATTTTCCCCAGCGCACTGGGCCCGTGTTTTAAGCACAGCACAGGAGTTAGATTACCCTCTGATAATCCACTAACTGATTTAAAAGAAATTCATTAAGTGACCTTACAGCCTTGAAGAGGGGCCCCTAATAGAAGGAAGAGATGTATATCTTCCAAAATATTTGAGCTCATTAAAGCTATTTAAATATACCACCTTTTAATTTTTTCACACTCAGGCAGACATACACACACACACATACAAACAAATGTGTGTGTTTGTATGTGTGTGTGTGTGTGTGTGTGTGTGTATATATATATATATATATATATATATATATATAGTTGATGCTTCCATTATCGGTATTCAAACATCAAGCCTAACAATATATAAAATAAAAAATGCCATGGGTGCAAGTAAAAAAATAAAAAGGGAAGTTTAAAAACTCACTGACCATGTATAAAAAAAATGAAAAAAGTTAAATCTGTAAATAAATTGGGTCCATTTGTGTTGAGTTTCTTTTCATAATAAATCAAGCAGGTTTACGTTGGCTGGAATAAATGAACATTTCTCCTAGATTGTCAGCTTGTTTGAGCAGGGCATTCGTCACTTCTGTCTATATAATTGTGTCTGTAAACATCATTTTTTTGTCTGCCAGTAACTCGTTAAACAACGCCACTACAATTGTAAAGCCGTGCAGGAAATGTTGGCACTACCATAAATACTAATAATATCTGTCCTTTGAGGAGAGAGATATACATCTTTCAAGTTAGGGTTGAGGATATATAGCATAACCTTGTAGCAAAGTGGTACAGGACAAGTTAATACATAGGTTATTAATGCAATCGATAAACACTTGTTCTGATTCGGAAATAGTAATAAGTGGTTTCTTTGCTAAGTAACTAGTTGTTTGGTGAAAATGCAGTGGCATCGATGATGCGGGAATGGCACCTTTCCCAATACTACAACAGACCTTCACCCTCCCGTCTAGGGAACTATTCACATACCTACGCATAAAAAACATTCTACATAATCATAAACTACATAGAGGCAGGAAATACCCACCGCCACGATTTATCCTCAAGTGCCAAGGAAAACTAAAGGGCATCAAAGCATATTCTTTTTGTTACACCTCACTCATGAACCTAGTAGACAAGGAAATTCCCTCATACATGAGCTCTTGGGAGAAGGATCTCCATACACAAATTAGCCAAGATACATGGCGGAGGGCTCTGGGTAGGGTGAAGAAAACCACATACAGCCTGGCCCACAGAGAGGCGTTTTGTAAATTACTTATGAGGTGGTATATGGTACCGTCACGCCTAGGGCATATTTACCCAAACACGTCTCCCATGTGCTGGAGATGCCATGACAACGAAGGCACACTACTCCATGTATTTTGGACATGTCCGAAAATAGGCGAATTCTGGGACGCAATAGAACAGTTTCTCTTAGAGGAGCTGAAGATTAAAGTACAAAAATCCCCAGAATGCTACCTACTCCACATCTTCCCCCATTCATCCAGGGAGGACGAACTATACATGCTCACTCACTGTCTCATTGCAGCCAAAATAGCAATAGCACACAGATGAAAATGCAGTGGCAGAATTTGAATAATTTATTTTATTTTTTATTTTTTTAATTTTCAGCCACATTCTGCAACTATTAAAGGGCCACTATAGTCACCAGAACAACTACAGCTTATTTAATTTGTTCTGGTGAGTAGAATCACTACCTTCAGGCTTTTTGCTGTAAACACTGTCTTTTCAAAGAAGATGCAGTCTTTACATTACAGCCTAGTGGTAACTTCACTGGCCACTCCTCAGATAGCTGTTAGAGATCCTTCCTGGGTCATGGCTGCCTAAAATGCATCCAAACATTCAGTATCTCCTCCCACTGCATGCAGACACTGAACTTTCCTTATAGAGATTCATTGATTCAATTCATCTCTATGAGGAGATGCTGATTGGCCAGGGCTGTGTTTGAATTGTGCTGGCTCTGCCCCTGATCTGCCTCCTTGTCAGTCTCAGCCAATCCTATGGGGAGCATTGTGACTGGATCAGGCTACCACTTCTACTGATATCAGCAGGCAGTGGGCAGGTCTAAAGGAAACAGGCACAAAGCCAGCATTTCCAGACTTGAATACAAGTAAGATTTCTATATTTAGGGAGGCATGAGGGGCCCAGGGGGGCTAGATGGTGGTTTTAACCCTATAGGGTCAGGAATACATGTTTGTGTTCCTGACCCTAATCACAGGTCACTGTTTAGCTAGCAAAGCGCTATGTATGGCGGCAGAGGTTGTTAGATAGGAAACAGGCTGATTAAATGGTCCTTAATTAGTTCTTATTTGAATACAATGGAAAACCAATGGAAAACAAGCAGAGTATATATGGGGTGAAACTGCCTTAAGCTCCTCCTCTTTCTTTGCTGTTCCACACTGGGAGCAAGTCACAGCTGTTTTTTGCACTGGTTTCATTAGTACTATTCATGATCCTTATTGTTGGGCCTTCTTCCTCTATCTCCTTTTCTTTTAGCGATGTTTTTGCCGCTTCCCCAAATGCCCAGGCAAATGCCTTGTTAGCCTGGTGGCAGACGGCTAGCAGAACTCCAGGCAGACAACAAGGGAATGCTGATTACTGGCTCATATTCTGGCTCCCGGCATCACTCTGTGGCGCACAAGGGAACTGAGCAGGGAGCGCTCACAAACACACGCACCCTCGCCGCCCGTCTGAACCTCAACTGGCTGGGTGGATTTAAATTAAAATTTTAGAATAATCTGTGAGTGTTGGGGGGAAATGTGTGTGTGTGTGTGTGTGTGTGTCTGGCTGCCAGGGTGTGTGTGTGTGTGTGTGGCTGTCTGTCAGTGTGTGTGTGTGTGTTTCTGGCTCTCAGTGTGTATGTGTGTTTCTGGCTCTCAGTGTGTATGTGTGTGTCTGGCTGTCAGGGTGTGTGTATGGCTGTCAGTCTGTCAGTGTGCCTGTGTGTGTATATCTGTCAGTGTGTGTGTGTGTGTCTGGCAGTGAATGTATGTATGTATGTCTGTCAGTGTGTGTCTGTGAGTGAGTGTATGTCTGTCAGTGTGTGTCTGATTGATTGTGTGTGTCTGTGAGTAAGAGTGTGTGTCTGTATGTCTATCAGTGTGTGTCTGTGAGGGAGCCTGTGTGTCTGAGTAGCTGTGTGTGTCTGTGAGTGTGTATCTGTCAGTGAATGTGTGTTTGTGTCTGAGTGTGTGTGTGTGTATGTCAGTGTGTATCTGTGAGGACGCCTGTGTGTCTAAGTGATTGTGTGTGTGTCTGTCTGTGAGTGTGTGTATGTCTGTCAGTGTGTGTTTGTGAGGGAGCCTTTGTGTCTAAGTGACTGTGTATATCTGTCAGTGTGTGTCTGTGAGTGTGTGTCAGTGAGTGAGAGTGTGTGTGTCTGTGTCCGAGTGAGAGTGTGTGTGTCTGTGCCCGAGTTCCGTCATGCCTAGGGCAGCACAGATTCAAAATACACAACTGTGTTCTGTAAAGAATTGTTTGGGGGAGGTTATTCCCTTTTGGGGTTGGTTTGGTAAATTTCCCTTGATGTGCTGTGTTTGTTCCCCTGCTTTAGCGCGTTAGCGCGTTCACTAAAACTTTATTTAGTGCTGACTGCAGACGGTCTTTCTCTTTTTTTTCCAGAAGTGGGTAGAAGTCTCCTTGGACACTTGGGTACTGCAGACAATATAGGGGTACGTGATGGAGTTCACTTTCAAACCTTTTCAGTGGTTTGCCCCGCATCCCGTCCATTTCTCTGTAGACAGCACCCATTTAGTCGATGTGGAAACTACACCAGACAGGGTCAATTCAACCTGTCATGGACTGCAGATGTTTCTTCAGCAACCTCTGCTAGTTAAAAAGAAGACAGGGGTATTCAGACCTGTGATAACTTCAAGAGTCTATAACACTTATGTAGTATACCGCCATGGAGGGTATCCATCTTCTGAGGGACCTTCTGCAGGAGGAAGACTGGTTTACTTGCCTCAAACTAAAAGGTTCCTGTCCTTCCTTTCCCTTGATTCTGCTGGTGCAAAACACCATGGAACTGACACGCCATCTTCGGTCCACATTTGGATTTTGTGCTGGAATCAGAAGCCAGCCTTTGAGGTTGGGATGCTACCAGTGACAAGACTTTCACTGGGAGTGTGTGGTTGCAACAGGAAACCTCCCTACATATCAATTGTCTGGAACTTCTGGCCTGTTCCTTCGCCATTCACAGCCTCGAAAAAGGAAGATCCAATTGCGGCATTCTGTTCTGGGTGGACAATGTGTCTGCGGTGCACTACATCAATCGGTTAGGGGGCGCTCGCTTTCGCTGGTTAATGGACATAACAAAAGATATACAGAACTTCTGTCTTGATGGCAACATTACCTTAAGGGCGGAATACCTCGTTGCCTGTCTTTTAATTCATCAATCTTTTTTGATACTTTGAGATGATGTTTGCACATGTTGTTATGTTGGATATTATGTTTCTATATTTCGCATTTAGGAAGAGGAGGTGCTTAAGACTGCTTCACCTCATATGTACTCTCCTTGTTTTTGATTGGTTCTTTGTTTCCTTGTTGTGGAACAGACTAGATGGGCCGAATGGTTCTTATCTGCCGTCACATTCTATGTTTCTATGAAGTTCAGTAAAGAAAGATATATGCAAAATATTTGCCTCCTGTCATTATTATGACAAATTAAGATTATAAATACACTAAAGTTAGCATAATCTTCAATTCTGAGCTAATCCACGTGGCACGTTTCTGGAGTTCGTTCATTCTCCATAATAAGCTCAGAATATTTACGCAATTTATTAAAATAAAACCCTGTCGTTTCTTATCAATAAATAAAGCATCCCACTAGCAAAAAGTCTTGTCTTGTTCATTAGTCAACTTATTTTCCTGTGACACGAGCCAGTATTACTCTCTGTAGGTTTTGCCATGACAAAGATAAGCAATGCTCCGTAGGACCATTAGCTGCACTTCCGTAACAGCCTAAGCTGTGGATAGCAGTTCATTGTATATTTATTATAAATAATATAAAGAGATTATACTTCTTCTGTTTTATCGCTACCCTGGGAAGACTATGAACGTTACAGAACTGTTACAACAACATAACAGAGCGCAATATTTAGTGCCGCTAATTGAACCATTGTAAAGCTTGAATACTATGTGACCTTAAATTACTGAAACCATTTGTTTCAATATTCGGCTGCTGCGTAAATATCAGACATATGTTTAATTAGTTTTTGTGGCTTTTTACTTTTTCTGTAGTTTATTTTTATGTGCTGGAGATTTCCAGATAATCTAGTAAGTGTATTTTTATTGCAGCTTGATTTAAAATATTTAAAATGCTATTAAGATTGTGTGGGGGTGATCTAAGTTAAATCTTCAAATGTAAAGTTCTGCTCCTGCAAAATAAAGCATTACAATATATAATAATATCTGTTATTCCACCCAATTTGTGCTCCATCCGTACCATACCCATTCTGTTCCCCAGATACCTTAATCAATTTGTAGCCCATCTATTGCCCCACACAATTGGCGCCCCATCTATTACTACACTTAATATTTGCCCAAATTTATGAAATCACCCACTTTACGTAATCTATTACGCACTTAATACCCAACCCAATCTGTACCTCCATCTAGTCCTCACTCAATCCCTGCCCTATCGGTTATCCAATATAATCTGTACCCCATCTATTACCCCACCCGTTTATTTTGCTCCATCCAATCTGTCCCCATCTGTTATGTGTGCCACCATCTAAGACCCTACCCAGTATGTACCCCACCTATTACTCCATGCAATCTATACCCCATCTATCATTCTATCATCAATCCGTTACCACAAGATCTGTTTTAATTTGTAAACACTCACTGGGTAATTTACCAAACCATTAATTGTTGTCATTTTCAAGAGGATTGCAATTTGAGATTAAAATAGGCTAAAATGTAAAATTCTCAAACTCAGCTGTTCCCGAAAATTCAGTTTAGCAAGTAACTAGTTAAGCCCTTCATTCCCAAAAATATTAGATTGAAAAATAGAAAAAATATTCACATAACATCTATTTGAAGCAAAGGATGCATAGCTAGCATACGATACAGTAGGTGTGCCAAAATTAAATTTTTTAAAACCCTAAAAATGATTTAAAAATACCTTGCAGAATGTAAAAAAGAATGTATTTGAGAATAATGCCAAGATTAAGTAAATACAATTAAATTATATTTTTATTTAAAAAAACAATCAAACAAAATAACAATCTTCATCAATCTCTGGAATGCTAATGCAATACTGGAGAGAGTGCATTCACACCTCTCTCCTCACTGATTATAGGAATGATATGACTCATTGAAACTTCCTGTATTATTTGAATGCAGTGGTTGAGCTTGCATTTTCATTATATATGTAGGCATTATATGACCAGAGACATCTGACAAAGAAATGTGTTTGCAGGCTGGTTATCAATCATAGAGTATAAATAAAGGTGAGTGAGGCTTTATGGACTAAATTGCATTCTGCATATTATTTTGAAAATGTAAATATATATACTGGATTTTGGCAATGAAGTGGTTAAGTTGTATGTCGGATTAATTTTGTTGCTCTGCAGCAAATCTGAATCTCCCCCAAATTTGCCATTTAGCTTGAAGAATTCCCTACAACTATCTGAACGTATTTGTATATTTTTGAAAACAATGTTTAGTTTTTTTTCCTGCTAAGGAAATTCTTTGTACATAAACAGTAACTGCAACAGACGCAAGTACAGCAAAGTGAAATAGAAGCACAGTTAATATCAATAGATCACAGTGTTTCTCAGGCACATTGGTGGAATCAACAGCAAGTTCTTTGTTGTGAAGTTAGAACACAGGAACTGCTGCCTGTTATCAGACGAAGAGACCTCCAGGGTGCTGGATGTCATGTAATATTACACGAGGGAAATACTCTGTATCAGGAGAAAGTCCTGTTGACTAATGCATTTGCGGGAGAGCCTGTAATGGATAGATTTGGAGAGATTACTTAAGACACTGTAGGCACTGTACTTGCTTCATCCTATTGAAGTGGTTATAGTGTCTAGTATTCACTGGAGCCATGCTTCCATTTAGAGTTAAACTGTTTTTCTTAATGGTGTGAAGCTAAAGGAAAGTTCCTGAATCCCATGTCCGCTGTGCTGCTTGGCTTAAGGAAGAAACATTAATTGACCTGAGCAGCATTGGCAGGTGGTGATTGGAAGACAATATCAGCTGATTGTTTTCAGCCTATAACACTCGTCCATTTCTGGTATGAATTGGTATCATTAAGGAAGTGATCAATGTCTGCTTTAACCATACCTTCAATGGGTGCTGGTTGGACTGTGGATGGCCAGAGATACATGTCGTAAATGGTTTAAAGGGTTACTTCAAGCATCCTGTCCACTACGGCCCGCTGTAGTAGCTATGCTAGGAGTACCTTGACCCCATTTCTGGGGCAGACGATTTTGAAATGGTTTATCCTCTTACCTGGATCCCATCGGGCACCGAATAGCCTGTGACCCATCAATTCTGCTGCCCATCCACTGGATGTGAGCGCTAGCTTGTCACTCTCAGCTCTATGTGTAGAAATATGCAAAGTCAATGATAAATCTGGCCATAAATGTCACTCTAAAATCATCCTCTGGCAGAACTGAACCTTTATAAAATATAGCTGCTGTGAAGGTAACGTCACTGGGTTCACAAACCTACACCAAAACATACGTTGTGGAACACACACCAAATTATTCAGCAAATACAAAACTGCTACGTGACCCAGGTTTCCTGGAATTGTGTCAGTATGGAAGTCAGTTTTGGCATCCTGGATGTTACCTTTATGATGTCCCACTTCACTGGGACACTGAAGAAAAAGAGACACAGCAAAATTGATCCATGGGTGTGTACAGAGCTTGCTGGCAAAGTTGCCATTGTCTACAATATGGCTTCCACTGGGTACAGATCAAACAGTGCAGCTCCCTCGGGTGCTAAGATTGCATACGAGACCAAGAACATCTTCTATATTCTCCACAATATCAATGGGCAGCATTAGATGGCTTCATTGGCTAGCATAGCAGAAACCTAATAAGCATGCTGTGTAAAAAATGACTTAATTAACCTTTACTGTTCATTTAATATCACAGATTAAAAAGCAAATTAAAACCATCTTTCAAAGCCCCACAAAGTAGATTTTCTCTGCTTTCTTTAAATCCGAAGATTACATTAAAGTGGATGTCTATGAACTCCGAGACGCACTAAGTTATGTTTACACGGGGGGCAGAGAGGCTGTGACGAGCAAAAATAAGGAAAATATGGTTCTAAACCATTCACTTCATGGCTCGTTCTGCACGCATCTAATTACCTGACTGCAGTGAAGGTGATGATCAGCTGTCGCTTTATTGGAAAAAGTTGCTGTTTCAGCATTTTTAATGTTCCTTTGTGTCGGAAATGATAATGACACATTTTAACAGATTGGGTTTGAAACAAAAATGGCTGCGTGCTACATTGTTTCAATGTACCGAAGATTCTAAGTATCAAATGTTCAATGCATCAGCTCATCGACTTCCGATTGCAGCCCTATTATCGGTGTTAATATCTTTATTGGAGAAATAGCTACATAAAGAAATGTGGGTCTGTTATAGCTCTCTCTGCGCTGAGAGTTTGGCTTCAGAAATCGTTATCAACCCTCCCAAACTCCTCCCCCCAATCGAGGCATAGCTTGCAAGGCCCAACAGATAACACAGTGTCCAAAGTGAAACTGGAAAAATGAAATATTGTATAGTAACATTGAAGGTTTATTCATTAAAGTGGGAATTTTGGATAATTGATTATGAAATGATCAATTATAGGCCAAATAGCTGAAATATAAAGAAAGCTGTGTTGTAGATATTTTTTCAGTTTGGGCTAAATATTTTTTTCCAATTCTCAGCAATTTCCAATTTCGAGAATAGACCCCAGAATATCAATGCAAATCGCCTGTACAAAACCATTCCACCGAGCTCCAGTAATTGCACTAACGATAATTGTACTTGCAATAACGATAAGACAACATGCTCAGCCAGACATAGTGAGCTCTGTGCTCAAAAAGATCGATAGTTTGACAAATAAATGTTTTGAAGATAAAAAAAAAAATACAATAAAAGATGGCACATATTTTCCAGTTTCCAGTTTCCTGCCTGATTTTATATAATAGGAAATAGTTTTAGACTGAATGGGATAACATTGTTGAATATAAGTGCCAAAGAAATAAGGTAATAGCTGAATGAAGGGAAATGTTACAATAGAATGAAATCTTCAGAAAAATTGTCGCTTTCATGGTACTCTGTATCCAGAGTGGCCACATTTTCGAAGGTCTGTGATTGAATGTGCTATAGTTCTTGTGTCTCACTGATGTGCTGGGATTGCTAATTTATAAGAAATATCAAGGCAATAATGGTCAATGCTTGCCTCCTGGGATGAAGGTGAGTGTCAAGGGGGGATTGTGCCTGACTGCAATGACGACTGGATGTGTTTTCCGAGAGCTCTCCAAGTCCAAAATGAATTAGTCCAGTCTCCAGTACATTTTGTCTGCTTATCTTAAGCATATTAAGCTTTTTTTGGCACCCTGCATCTACTGCCTCTGGTGTAAATCTACATGAGACCTAATCTAAGCGAGGTCTAGTGAGCAATGTCATGGGGAGAGGCGGCCTATTTCCAGGCCTGATGCACACAGGCCTGCAATATCATGAAACTGAAGCCCTGCTGCCCACCATGGACCGGTTGGCGTGAACCTGGTCCCCACCTCCACAGAGAGCAGGCTGTGCTGCTGTGCTTTCAGTGGCACCTAAGTGAGACAAACCCAATATGGCAGAAGCTGCATGTTCCCGACTGCAACAGGGAGGCAAGTGCTGTACAATGCAAAGGCTGAACTACATCCGTGAGGAATTCTGGCAGGACCTGCTATGAAAAAACCTCTAGCCAGCCCTACCAGCCAAACTACCACGCTTACCTGCTCGGCAACCCCAAAGTTCCAGGAATCGGTGCATGGCTGCGTATCCTGTGGAGACCCCAAGTGTTGCATCTCACGTGTCTGTCTCCCTCCAACTCAATAGTACTACCATCAGCTCTACCTCGCAGGCTCGCTGCCTAGGTCTACTTTTTGACTCTAACCTCTCCTTCACCCCTCATGTCCAGTCAATCACCAAATCCTGCCACTTCAATCTCAAAAACATAGCACACACATATATTGGACTCGATCAGCTAAAGTGCTGATCAATGCCGCTATTCTCGCCTTGACTACTGCAATTCATTTCTCAGTGGTCTTACGCGTTTCCAGTATGCTGTGTTACAGACTATGATGAATGCAGCGGTGAGGCTCATCTTGCTGTCCACCCGCACATCCCCACTCTGTCAGTCCCTACATTGACTTCCTGGGCTGCACTGTTACTGTGGATCTCACTTCTCCACTCGGTTAGATTCTCACCCAGTTTCCAGTCCTTCAAAAAATATTTAGAAATACACTTTATTAGGAAAGCATATCAGTTCAACTGTTACTAACTTCCCCTCCCTGCACTTTGGTAACCCATCTTACTGCTCTCCTGCAACTGTGTCATCAAAAGAAACGGCATAATAAACTCCTCTTGCCTTTTTGGCACCCCACCAGCAGGCTTTTAGCTCAGTGGGGACACGTCCAACTTGCTACCTCTTAAGGTTCACCAAAGAGACAGGGGATGATGAGACCCAACCATTACCCCCCACCTTCAGCTAACCTGCAAAAAAACACCACCCCTTACTTGGCAAAGCCCCCCTGCCCTTCCCCCGCTGCTGTGACAACACCCTGGGCCCAAAAAACAAAAGGGAGGGTGGGTGGGAAACTTGTTGCTGGCCCGGCTCCTCAGTGGCACTGAGGTCAGTCCCAATTGTCACCACCCACTTCCTCTCATACAACACTCCCCCAACATAAACACAGCCTATTCTGTTTCATCCATTCCCACACTCATACATATGCCATTGTCCGCTAAGCTGCGCACGCTCCCTGAGGCCTAACCCATCATTGTAAACTTTTCTAGTAACCTACTTTTCCGCGTATACGAAATACATCCTACTCTAACCTCTTGTGCCACTACCTCTAGAATGTAAGCTCATTTGAACAGGGCCCTCAACCCCCTCTGTTCCAGTGCGCCCAACTTGTTTTGTTTCAAATACTCCCATTGTACAGCGCTGTGGAATTTGTTGCGCTCTATAAATAATACTAATATATGATCAGGATTCCAGCCCCATATTTTGAAACCCAATTAATTAGGCTTGTTTCATTAACGGTAGCACTTTGCATCTCTTCACATGCCAACATCTCTTTTTTGTTTTGGAACAAAGGCCCAAGTAAAAGAGCAAGATCACTCACCCTGTCTGTCATAGCACAAACATTCATCAGATTATTACCCTCATCAGTGCATATCCAAAAAGCTTGCAGTAAATGGGACTTAATTAAATCGGCACTGCCACTTGCAGAATCTTTGCATTATTATTAATTTATTCTGTATTCTCCAGAAAGTCGTGAACTATCAAACTCCGTTCGGCTGTCATTTTGGCACCTTTTGGGGGGATCTGAGTTTCTGCCAGTCATGAGAAACGTTTTTTTTTTTGTTTTTTTTATTTCAAATCACCTATAACTACAGTGTATTTTAAATTAACTGAGAAAAAAGAAATTAATTTTGTCAGCCATATTTTCATCTCCAAATAAGTCCATATAGGAATTCCCGTGTGATGCCAGGCACAGTTATTTTATTTCCCAAGGTGACTATTTATGGGCGGATGTTCTTCGACCATGGTTAGGCAAAGAGGTCTATCCATAGATACTTAACATCTTGTCCTCTTGTCCATCGGTATCATGATTCACAGTTTATTTTCCAGCCCTTGAGCTGAAATATAATCAATTCTCCAAAGCTGAGAAAACACAATACCCCAGGGACGGCTGAGAGAATACTATGTCTCCAGCGTTTATGATCAATGCTAATTTCAAATTACACTTCCCCTTACTAATTGGGATCTTGAATTATTAAAATGCTACATGATTTATTTTAGGAATAAAATATAGAGTACACCAGCTTCAAACAGGCATCAATAATTAGAATCTAATTTATAAAGAGAGATGGGTGAAAAATTTCACAGTAAAGCAAAACATAAAAAGCTGGCGTCCTTGACTCTACGGACATTCTTGCAAAAGCACCTACAATTTGCTTGTCTTCAAAATTTCGTAAGGGTTAAAATTTGCATAAAATAAAAAAATAAATTTTTCGCAAAATTGTAGTGCCCACAGTAGAATCTGCGCTGTTAAATATATGTTCTAAAATTAGGCAAAACTGATAAAAAGCAGCTAGAAAACAGACGCATTAATGGGAACTAAGTCTGAGCCTGTCATGGATACTGTCAGTTTGTAAGTGCTATCGACAAGTGTAAGATCTTCCATGCCATTAGCTAAGCTCTTCATTGATTTTAGTCTTTTAACAAGAAAATCTCTTCGGTTTATGTAATCTTCACAGCTCTAAACACCGTTGGCGTCCATGCTTTGTTGATTATTGTTTAGACATGGTATTATTAAGTGCAAACAGACGCAGACAAAGTGTCCAAGTGCAGGCAGAAAAGAATGCACCAATTCCAAGCAGCCGCATTGGGTTTCATAAATTTCGGGTTCGTAAATTTACGTAAAAACACTTTTTCCTCCTCTTCGTTCCCTGACGGTTATCATCCAGCCTCCCAGTTCCCATAGTTTGAACATGAGCCTGGATTATCGAAAACAGTTATTATTATTATTATTATTATTATTTTATTATTTATATAGCGCCAACAAATTCCGTAGCGCTGTACAACAGTTCAGCGTTAATTTGCGTTGATCGGAAAAGGCAAAAAGGCATATAATGACGCACACGCTCTGCTCTTTATGAGGCATTTCTCTGATATCCCAGAGGAAAAAAAAACTTGAGACGGTAGGACAGGGATCCCAAATCATGACTGTCCCACCGTATACAGGATTGTTAGGAGGTATGAAATATGAAATTGTGACATGCATTCCACAAATTGAATTTTAATAAGGGTGTGATTAGGGTGGGGTTGTTCTGAGAAAGCTCTAGTGACTTACTGAAAACAGTTTACGCAACTAAAATGTCATTTAGAACAAGAACAATGGATCTTATTTGCACCAACTGATTTCTAAACACTTTTATTGTAGTTTAAAGTCACATTACTGGGAGTATTATTGCTGTGGAGCTCTGTTATACACTGAGACACCAACAATATGGAGCTCATAGAAAATAGGGGCATTAGGATAAAAAGAGAGACAGATGGATTTGGGCCTAGAATAGAAAAATATTACGCTTCCTAAGTGGACACACTTGGTAGGTATGTGAATGCGCGGCTGACACGCGAAACTTCTGAGAAGCCTCTGGTTGGTCGTTCCCTGGCAAAGACGAGATAATCTGTGCTGGGCAGAAGGGAAGGACTTGCAGTAGCTGCAGATATTAGATCTGCAACACTCGAAATCCAATATTTTACACATCCCCAAAGACAACGTGCAAACGTAATTACATGTATGTTTTATTTGGCATATCTTCTAAATTGTTCATCTTTATTTATTATTTTACATAAATTGTCTCCAAACCATTTATTGAAACTGTCTATTGAACAAGCCTGCTGCTCAGGACACAATACAGCAACGCCTTGGAGCTCTGTTCCACACCATACGTTTTATGAGTCACTGGAAGATATGTAAGAGTTAATAAAAAAAAATAGAAAAAAGTAATTAGGGTCTCAGCCAACCAAAACAATCTCATCAACACATCACTGCTAACGGAGACACAGCGAAAGAATGTTTCCTAGACACCAGAAACAAAGGTCCGGGGATACCCCTCCAACGTGTAAGGATAAATCTCTCGGCTGCTGAATAGAGAGGATTGTCCTATTAGCGAGGATACAGCTCTGAACACTCCTGCCGAGTGAATGATGACTTAATGAACATTATGCCTTTTATACTGTAACGTATAAATAACTATTTAATTTGAATGCTGGCCAAAAACACTGCACATTTAAGATGAACCTTCTGAGTTGCATTACATATCAAAGTCACTTTAACCTTTTGTTTTCTCTTTAATGCCTATATTCATTTTTTTTCTTTTTATTATATTTGTACTGTTTTTTTTTTTTTAATGAGAACACATTTTTTATTTCTTAAGAGGACAAGGCATTATGAAGCAGTAAACGATAAGAGTTTGGGGGTAAGCCGTGGTATGGCCAATCACCAAATAAAATATAAATATACCTGCATTCACTTGTGGAAATGTGTCTAAAATCTACAATAGAAATCATACAAAGCTTACAGCAACATGTTTACAATAAGTGATACAACCAATTGTGGGGATTAGAAGCACTCACTTGTTGGGGAGCCGTGTCCCTGCCCCCTTTAGTCCTACAATGAAGATCACTGCAGTTTTCGAGAAACTCATTGCAGTACTAAATTGCCTGTAGTGGCTGTCTACCAGAAGGGGGAAGAACCACATAGAAGTGACCCAAGGAAGGACCAAAATGCACCGAACGCAATTCATGCCTGTTGAGAAAGCGCAGTGCCTGGCGTGAAATGCGTTCGGGTACATTTCGTTCCTTCCTTGGGTCACTTCTATGTGGTTCTTCCACCTTCTCACAGGTGCTGTACTTTTATCATTTTTCGTAGCATCTGTTATATTTTTTTTACATATTTTTCTCCAGTGGGATTTACTGCATATTATGGCAGGGTAGGATCACAGAACATGTTGTTATCACCCTTCACATACTATCTGATATAGGACTGGCGCATATGAGGACTGATCTAGGCAATCTTTTGCTTGTAGTTCCATGTTTTATATTTTTCCCTTTTCTGCAAATAAATGTACCTTTTCTAAGAAGTCTGGTGTGCAGTGGAATGTACTAGTAAGGTCTGAGTGTGCAGACATTAGGAATAGTTTGGGGGTAAGCACAACTTAGTTGTGTTGTGATTAATACTGAGCAACGAGCATTAGGGCAGAGACACCACCAAAACCAAGACAAAAAGGATTTATTCACTAATTGCTGCGACGTGGTTCATTTACAGATACTTTGCAAACTTTAGGTTAAAACAGCGAAGTTGGCACAAATATCCACAGCATTCCACTGTTAATTTAAAAAGCCCCAAATATCATTCTGATGGATCCAGCAGTAAGATAGAGATTACTTTCCTTTAATTTCAACTCGTTAGCTCCTGTAGATACTATCCCTGTAATGTAATCAATGTATGTGCTATACCAGCCTATCGATATATTTCGATTTAAGGAGGCCATTGTTTATTCATCCAGTAAGTATACGAGTGATAGTTTAACAGGAAAGGGACACAATTCATTCCGGCCTACGAAATATCTCTTTCCAGACTTTCATATGGAATCCATTTTCCACATTATATTTTTAAAACATCCCCTGACACCGCATAGCTTTATATCATCTTAAGACAACAGTTACTTTATTACTTGGCTACGGCCCCAAAATGGCCTGTACGTCTATCAGCTCAGCCTCAAACAAACATTTCTCATCATAAATTTCCATCCAGGTGTATCAATCAACATGAAATTCCTATTAGGATCTCCTTCCCTGCTTCCCCTTGTCTGCTTAGCGAAATGTGAATGTGTCTCCTTGAAGGGATGATATTGCTCTATAACTTGGCCTTTAATCCCTTAAGTGCAGGAGGGATGCCTTCTCGATAATGCATTTTAACCCTCCCCATCCTCTGGTTCCTGTAGCTGAGCGATAGCGTTAGTAGCTAAAATGAAGATAGATGTTTATCCACCGAAGCTGGGGTGGTGCAGAAAGGACAAAGGACTTGCAATCTTTGAGCCACAATAGTTACATTAGAATACTCTCCAATCTAGCTATTTTTCAAATTTGGTTATTGCTAGGCTTAATATCATTTTTAGACTTGCACGAAAAACCAATTGGAGTTTCACCAAGGGTAGTGGAGGGGGTGGTGGAAAGCTGTACCTATGTTGGGAAATTTAGAGTTAGTTATGAATAAATTAAACAATTTAAGTATTTCAGTTTTATTCTCTATGGTAAGAATTCAAAGTGAAAGGAACTCTGTAGGCACTTTAACAACATAATCTTATTTAAGTTGTAAGAGTGCCCTAAATATGTTCCCCCATGACCTCCGTTTGGTAAACGTCTGGTAACCCTAGTTATTGTGGCTTACAATCTACAGACCACATGCCAACTCTCCTCAAATCATGGTTTAGTGAATAAACCTAATATTCTTGTAACAAAGGCTGTGCGTTATACAACAACAAAGAATATCAATGTATACAGCTATTATTGACTAAACTGTGAATTGTAGAAAGCTGGCCAGAGAATGGCAAATTTTAAATGGTGTCTGAGCTCACCCCGATTCATGATCTGATTGGGTGATCTCACAGACCAACAGACCACTTAGATCATGCATTAAAGCGTATCCCTGATGCATGATCTGATTGGTCCTTTCGGGGTGAGCATTAACACCTTGTAAAACCAATGACATCATGATCTGACCAATCAAGGTTCTGGCATTGCGACCGCGTGTCTTTTAAAAGTAATTGCAACAAGTAATTGATAACTAATCACTGACAACAATTCTCATCATCAAATTCAATTGAATAGTTGTTGCAACTCTAACTTTCTTCCCCTCCTGTCCTTATACTTGTTTGTAGAAACAGCTTGTCTTTTGTTTTTCCCATTGTATTGGGATGTGGAATATCTTGGCACTATGTACATAACTGTAGTTGTGAGGTGTGATAAACTGTGATAAAACACCATAACCCCCTCACATTAGTCATTATTCCCATGGGCACAAATCTGGAACGTTGCTATTTGCATTCAAAGGTGTTGGCTTTTTATACTGGCAGATTTTATATGGAAAGATAATGATGTATTAATAGCCACAAAGTTAATATATCTATACATATTTTATCAGTGTAAAGTTCAGCAAACACAAGTACACATACCGCTTCTCTCCTTTTCTGCGTAGGATGCTTGTTGCAAATTTATATTGCCACATTTGACGAAATCACAAAGTATGCGTTGATGTGACAGGTACACTGAAGACACCAACCAAGAGCCAGTGATGGAAACGTTTAAACCTATTAATTGTGAAGATTGTGATAAATCTTTTCAATCTCCTTTGAATTCATAGCGCTACATTTGACAAAATCAAAACGAATGCGTTGATGTTAAAAGTACATTGAAATGGCCTGCTGCGAATTTCATTTAAGTGGGTCAACCTCATGGACCAATCAGATCATGCATTTGGGTAGGCATTAATGCATAAACTGATTGGTTCTGCAAGGCATTGCCGCTCACCCCGAGCGGACCAATCAGGACGTACGCTGGGGGTAGTTGTTAATGCATCATCCGATGGCTCTGTGAGGTCAGCCAATCAGATCATGCATCAGGGTGAGTGCTAAGGCCTTTTTAGGGTTAAAATTGCTCATTTGGAGAGATTTTCCAGTTTTACTGTTCTAGCTTAAAATTGCAGTTCCTCTATCAATTAATCTACAATTTCTGGTTTAGCAAACAAGCCTAATAACCTTCTGGTAAAAGAACAGCTAAAGGGTGCAGATTAACTAGAGTTTAGTTAAAAAAATGTTTTACAAAGCCGTTAACTGAAAAGCAATTATTTTCAGTTTCACGGACTAGAGTACTGTGTTTGTCTGTACTTTAATAAAATCTTACCTACTCTGCACCATAAGCAATTGTCTGTGGCAATGATTTTTTTCTATTACTTTTTTTTTTGTGTTTGAGTGCAGTTTCAGGTGCCTGTCACCCCTGCTACTTAATTTTTCAGTAATTTGGAGTTTGGTTTAACCTTGCTATTGAATCTATATACCTGTTCAGAACTCCTTTTGATCGTTATGTTTCTTAGTCTTGTGACATGATCTGTGTCTGCCCTGACCTTGGCATCAACCCTCACTACTTACCCTGTGATTCAGCCCTGGCTCAAAGCACCTTGTCTTGTGGATAGTTAAACACCTGTAGTACCTGTTTCTTCATCCTTCCTATAAACTTACTTACAAGAATTTTAGGGAAAAAAATATAAACTGCTTTTTGAATTTTTTTCATATTTTTGTTTCATTTAATTATCTCGGTAGAATAATTTGGATATCCAAGCCTTACGATATTTTTATACTGCGAAAGTCTAAACAAAGAGCTGTTTTGGCATTAATATTCTTGCTATTTTGTAACTTAAAATGTCTATGTGTAATATTTTTGAAATTTCAATTAAAAAAAAATAAGATTTAAATTTAATACTAGTAGTTCATTTTCATATTTTGCTACAAACATTAAGAAAGGTAATTATAAACCGTACAGTAACAGTGTTAATATTTTATAATAAAAAACAAAAGTTCATTTTAACTAACAAAATATTGTGCCAAAACGGTCTTAATGTTAATTAAACCCACTAAAGGCATAAGACAATATGACTGTCTTGTATCAAACAGGGATTATCCTTTCTGATATATCCTTTTCTGTAAAAACTCAGACACTATCCATCCTATAGAGGACAGTCTCCTTTTTTATCGTCTCCTGCTGAAATGTGCTTACCACCGTTATTCCTTAGAAATCTTTAACCTCTTTAAACCTCTGCTTCCTCGCTCCACGCGATTATTCGTAGAAGAGTCCGCATTTCTCATCAACCCTATGAAAATCCACGCACATGATAGTAAAAGGTGATAAGGGCCTCTGGGCTGGTGGAGACTGATGCACACATCCCATCTCCTATAAGCATTATCTCATTGATGGAAAGCTTTCAAAGCTGAAGAGGGACCCACAGAGAAGGTTATTTCTCAAATTATACAAAGAATGTGATCTTTCATGTTGTGCAATATATTGCACATCATCCGCTCTGTGATAAAGAGGAGTTTTTCACCTCAGGCTGGGGTGTAAAATATATGGCTTCTTGTTCAATTATGTCAAGCAATCCGTCAACCAAAATGTGTGAGGGATTATGGGGTAATATGTCTAGGTTTCCATTCGCTTGTGCCACTGCGAGAACGTTCTTAAATATGCGGGTTTAGCAGAGATCAGAATGGAGGCTTTCTTTTACGCTTGTATATTTTGTACATTTTACCGTTTTTAGAAGAAAATTAGATGTTGCCTTTTTAACCGGAATATGTACCAAAATAGAAGTTTACTTGTAGGTTTTTGTGTTTTATCGTTTGTAGGTTGATGTGTTTCAGTTGAAACATGTATTATAGAATGTATTTTCAAATACTCCTGTCATTAAAGCTAAAATGATTGGGCAAGATGGGCAATGATCCTGGTACATGCCCCTCTGAAGAGTAGGTTACCACAAGCTAGAATGTTACCCTGGGAGGACACGGGATGTTACCCTGGGAGGACACGGAATGTTACAGTGGGACAATATAGAATGTTACCCTTGGAAGACATTGAATATTACTCTGGGACAAGATAGAATGTTACCCTAGGAAGACATGGAATATTACTCTGGGACAAGATAGAATGTTACCCTAGGATGACACGGAATGTTACAGTGGGACAAGATAGACTGTTACCCTGGGATGACACGGAATGTTACAGTGAGACAAGATAGACTGTTAACCTGGGATGACACGGAATATTACTCTGGGACAAGATAGAATGTTACCCTGGGAAGACACAGAATATTATTCTGGGACAAGATATAATGTTAACCTAGGATGACACAGAATGTTACCATGGAATGTAACCCCAAGACAAGATAGACTGTTACCCTGGGAAGACATGGAATATTACTCTGGGACAAGATAGTCTGTTACCCAGGGATGACACGGAATGTAACAGTGGGACACGATAGAATGTTACCCTAGGAAGACACAGAATATTACTATGGGACAAGACAGAATGTTAACCTAAAATGACACAGAATCTTACCCTGGAATAACATGGAATGTTACCCTGGGAAGACACAGAATGTTACCCTGGGACAAGATGGAATGTTAATCTTGAATGACATTGAATGTTACCCTGGAATAATATGGAATGTTACCCTGGGAGGACACAGAATGATACCATGGAATGTTACCCTGGGACAAGATAGACTGCTACCAGGGGATTACTTGGAATGTTACCCTGGGATAAGATAGAATGTTACCCAGGGATCATACGAAATGTTACCTTGGGACAAGATAGAATGTTACCCGGGGATCATACGGAATGTTACCCTGGGGCAAGATAGAATGTAACCCAGGGATCATACAGAATGTTACCATGGGACAAGATAGAATGTTACTCTGGAATGACACAGAATGTTACCCTAGGACAAGATAGAATGTTACCCGGGGATCATACGGAATGTTACCCTGGGACAAGATAAAATGTTACACACACACTCTGACAGGCACACACATTCACTCACTCACAGACACACACTGACATGCATACACTCACTGACAAACACTTTAACTGACAGACAGATACACACTGACAGACAGACACAGTGACAGACACAGACATAGTCACTGACAGATACACACACAGTGACAGGCACAGACATACTCACTAAAGACAAAGACACACACACACTGACAGACACAGACACACTCACTCACTGACTGACAGACGCACTCACTGACAAACACACACACTCACTCACTGACAGACACACTCAATGACAGACATACTCACTGACAGCCACACACACTCACCGTTGCTGGGCTCCTTGCTGGGGCTGCTGGCTCAGCTGGGTGGGCGTGCGGACAGGCGGTGGTGGTGAGGGAACTGAGGTCTTCCTGTTTTGCTCCCTCGTGCATTGCTGGGGCAGGAGTGACGTCATATTCCAGCTCCTGGCATCACAGAGGGGCGTATGGGGCAGCAGGAAGAGCTCAGAGGATTGCGCTCCCTCGCCGCTCGCCTACACTATGAGCCAACCGGCCACCTCTGGCTCCCCCCCAGGATGTGAGGCAAACAAAGCACTTGCCTTGCACTTAGGGCAGCGTTTTTTGCCACCTCCTTGAAAGTGCCGCCCTAGGCAAATGCTTTGTTTGCCTCGTGGCAAATACAGCCCTGTGGCCAGCATAGTGTGTGGCAGAGATATGTAGGAATTGGAGTCCAATAACAGCTAGAAAGCCACTGTAGGGACAGTATCCCAAGATTTGCAGAGAATAATGGGATTTGCAGTCTGACAACAGCTAGTGGACAAAGTGAGAGCACCATTAATCTTTCTAGCCGCCTGCACAATGACTTATAAAGGTCCAAACACATCTTTAAATTACTAAGTTAATTAACATTCACTTTATTTACCAAACCATTATCTTCATACGAACACTAGTGAAGGCTCTTAAAGTCTATATTAAGCACTTGTAGCATGCTTAATTTGCATGTAATTAAGAGAATTCTCAGAGAGCGCCACTTCAGGTGAATGCTGATAAGGAAATAAGGTACGATGAGTCGCAAAAAATTTCAACTGCCTGTTCTCGTGCTTTAGATATTTATACCTACAATACACTGCCTGTTTATTGTGCAAAATCATCAGTGCGAAGATTTAACTGTTTGAATAGCGTAACCGCGTAGAATGGACCCTTGGTGGGGAATGGTGGGGTCCCTTCATAGCAATAACAGCCATATAGTAATAACGGCGCAACGCATTGACTTTTACATGTAGTATCTTAAGATGTCCTTTAAGGGACAGTAAAATAATATTTGAAAGTTAAATATTATTCCTTGTTTTAGTAACTTAACTAGGCTAAAATTTTGCTATAGTTTGTGCCATTTTTATCTAAATAAGATTAATATGCCTTGTGAAAGATACAACATACCAAGCACATATAATACAATACCTGACAGCCTCTAGAGGCGCTTCCGCAACGCTTAATGTGTAAGTCGCATTGAGCCCACAGAACGTCCATAGGAAAGCATTGAGAAATGCTTTCCTATGGGCGTTCCTTTGGCCGTGCATGCGCACTTGGGAGCTAACGTCGGAGGGGGAGGAGAGGTCACCAGCGCAGAGGGAGCACGGCGCTGGATTAAGGTAAGTGGCTTAAGGGCTTTTAACCCCATTAGCCCAGCGGGAGGGGGGCCCTGAGGGTGGGGGGTCCTGAGGGTGGGGTGTCCTAAGGATTATATAGTGCCAGGAAAACAAGTTTGTTTTCCTTGCACTATAGTGGTTCTTTAACCCCCACCGTGCCATGTGCACATATATGATATTGCTTTGAACATACCTGGCCATCGTGAGGCAGTGGTCACGATTGTCCTGCAGAGGTTTGTATTTAGATTTGCCTCAACTGCCCTTCTCACCCCAGTAAATGATCCAGTAACATTAGTGGGGTGACTGTCAGAAGTGACTGTTCTGCTTTAATATAAAGATGTTTGTTGATAACCTGAGAAGTCTGATACATTCCATATATGAGATATAAAACAATGTCCAACATTTTAATGTTTTAACATAGTATGCTGCCTGGTTTAATAACCAAACCCTAACAGACGAAGCTTTCAGTGGTGAATCTGTACATTGTAGAACCGTTGTGCATGCATATGTTGGGGTCCAGTTTTTGCAAGATTTAATATTAAAACTAATTTTGTTTTTACCTTGATCATACCTCTAGGTGCCCTTCAACAATAAGGGGCAGTAAACTAAAACAAAATTGATTGTGTGCTTTAATCATCATATTAAAAAATGGGTTCAACTGACAAATCTACTACATTCCCAATATGAGATATAAAGCATTTCTTTTCAGTACTACCAAGAACTAAAACCAGTTTCCTTTTCATTCACTGAGAGATCGCTAAGGATGACACAGTGAAAAGGAATGGTTTCCGAAGCTGTGTACCTGCAGGAAGAATGGATTTGGAACCCTCTGAGTGCCAAGCAGGGAATGCATTGCTGCCCTGGTACTGAAAGGGTCAAGCTTGCAGTAGCTACTTGCTACTCCCAACCATGACTTTCGCTTCCTCGACAGCACATTAATTCCTCCGGACCCTGTCAGATAATTGTTTATGAAAAGATGAATGGACGTAATAATATTCTTTGAAGGCTTTTGATGTATGTGGTGTTAATGGATCGGAATGATCACTTGGTTAATAACTACCATGTGTATTTGTCAAGCAGGATGCAGGCGGGCATTAGTATTCAGCTGCCAGCGAGCGTTATCATGCGGGTTTATAAGGAGGTGTGCGCGCGTGTGACAGGCCTCCCATAGATAGACCATGAATAAAATAGGAAATAGTACCCAGACATAATTGAACTGCCAGTGTGGATGTACCGAAAAAAAAAGACAGGATATCTTAATAAGTCCAGATAGCGGGGAGTAATGGGGGCAGCGCAGAGAGACTTAATGAACACACACATCAGCAAGTGACATGAGGTTTGGGATATCAGCTCCCAGAGACTTCGGCGTCGCTGGCTGTTAGCTGCAGATTTCCAAAGGGTTTTTTTTTTTTTGCACTCTATATTTATATATTTTATCAGTCAGCCTGCTGGTTTCTTTGTTTCTGCCGTACACTGTCTTGTCGCACAATGAGACTATGAGACTCTGGGGCGTGATCTACAGGGTGCGACATGGTTGTGTACATGGTATGGGCCATGTTTAAAGGGAGATACACATGTAAAACATAGGGACTGTTGACTGTCTGCTATCTTACTGAGAAGATGTAGAAGTACTGATCATGAACAAAAGTATTGGACAAAAACAGGGAAACAAGACATGGAGACAGAGCACATTTCAGATTTAACAGTTGGCACACAAGATCCAATAATTTGTGAGTAGAGTAATTTCTTACATTTGTATTTCAAGAAAATATTGGTAAATACTACAGAATACCCAACCACAAAAACAGCTTTTTGTTTTTTTAATGGCAGAGTTTTCTAAATCTAAAGGGTTCTCAGGCACCAAGACCACTTATGTATACATTTTGTTACAATAGTTTGCCTTACTCTTGTTAGTTAATCCTACAGGGCTGTATGCCTCTCTCCCCATACCCACAATCCTCATCCATACAGTCACATCTGATATAATGTGTATATGCTAACCGAGACATCTACGGATTCTGTTACATACCTCACAATATTTCAAATGGGGCATTTTATTTATGTAAAATACACCGACAATGTGGAGCTCCTAGAAAGGAGGGATACCGGCCCAAAATAGGGACTGTCCCTCCTAAATAGGGACACATGGGTGCTATGCTGTCATAGTAAATTTATGAAAACATTAAAGCTACCTAGCAGTCTAGTGGATGTCAAACTGTGTTCTATTAGGTTACCCAGCAGTTTTATTCATGTTTCCTTCATTATTATTATTTTTTTTTTATTTATATATCGCCAGCAAATCCGTAGCGCTGTTCATAAACAAAAGCACTTGCTATTGCTAATCTGCATGTCCATCTGTGCAGGAGAAAACTCAGTCAGTCCCTGTTCTTTGCAGATCAGCTCACAAATTTAGAGATTTAGAGATAACCATCTTTGTTATTTTAATGCATAAAATGGGGTGGTTAACTTCAGCCTTAGAGAGTATTTAATTGGCAAGTAGACATTGCAACGGCCAGAAATGGCAGGAGCTTGAGAAACACATCTAAACACCCCTTATCTACCGTAACGGAGGACTACCCCCTTCGCCACCCTTGTAAACTGCATACCATACACGTGGACGTGGGTACAACAGCACTCCTGTCCCTGGCATACGTTGCCTCCAGGGAATAATTGCTTTATCACATAGTGAGGCAGATCCAGTTAGATTAAATAACTCTACTGATCTCCTGAGATTAAATGCCAGCTTAGCTAAAGTCCAAGGATTTGAAATATAATACTGATTAGCTTACAAGCAAAATCCCTTTCTTTTCAAGATATTTGGAATTTAACTCCCAGAACCAGGGTCTGGGCAAAGAATCTAGGTAGTGCGATCAGAGGTTGAATGATTAAAGCTGCAAGACAGGGAAACATTGCACGTTAGTACATAGGTAGACAGTTGCTTCTGTGTTTAATTCACAACCCCCTGCCTTGTGAATATTGATACCTATTTCAAGAATACAGGGACAGCGAGGGGAGAGGAGGTTATGGGCAACATACACAGGTATCTGGTCATCACAGAACTACTGCAGTAGAATATATGCTTTTTTAATACCTGCAAATTAGTCTGATTTCTATGTCTGTCACAGAGGATAAGGCCTTACAGGCACAGTGATGTTTTTTGCAAATCCTTCAGTTATCTGTAATTTTTGTATTGGGCTTGTAGGCACCTGACTATAGGTAGGATGTATATATACAGGTGATACTTGAAAAATTAGAATATCGTGCAAAAGTTCATTTATTTCAGTAATGCAACGTAAAAGGGGAAACTAATATATGAGATTACATGCGATGATTATGGCTTACAGCTCATGAAAACCCCAAATCCACAATCTCAGTTAATTAGAATATTACATGCAATCAATAAAACAAGGAGTGTACATAGAACAATATCAGACCTCTGAAAAGTATAAGCATGCATATGGACTCAGTACTTGGTTTGGGCCCCTTTTGCAGCAATTACTGCCTCAATGCGGTGTGGCATGGAAGCTATCAGCCTGTAGCACTGCTGAGGTGTTATGGAACACCAGGATGCTTCAATAGCGGCCTTCAGCTCTTCTGCATTGTTCGGTCTCATGTCTCTCATATTTCTCTTGGCAATGCCCCATAGATTCTCTATGGGGTTCAGGTCAGGCGAGTTTGCTGGCCAATCAAGCACAGTAATCCCACGGTCATTGAACCAGGCTTTGGTGCTTTTGGCAGTGTGGGCAGGTGCTGGAAAATGAAATCAGCATCCCCACAATGCTCTTCTGCAGAAGGAAGCATGAAGTGCTCCAAAGTCTCCTGGTAGACAGCTGCGTTGGCCCTGGACTTAATGAAGCACAGTGGACCAACACCAGCAGATGACATGGCTCCCCAAATCAACACAGACTGTGGAAACGTCACACTGGACTTCAAGCATCTTGCAGTGTGTGCCTCTCCATTCTTCCTCCAGACTCTGGGTCCTTGGTTTCCAAATGAGATGCAAAAGTTGCTCTCATCAGAAAAGAGGACTTTGGACCACTGAGCAACAGACCAGGTCTGTTTTTCTTTAGCCCAGGTAAGATGCTTCTGACGTTGTTTGTTGTTCAGGAGGAATACGACATCTGAAGCCCATGTCCAGGATCCGTCTGTGTGTGGTGGCTCTTGATGCACTGACTCCAGCCTCAGTCCACTCCTTGTGAAAGTCCCCAACACATTTGAATGGCCTTTTCCTGACAATCCTCTCCAGGCTGCGGTTATCCTTGCTGCTTGTGCACCTTTTTCTTCCACACTTTTCCCTTCCACATAACTTTCTATTAATGTGCTTTGATACACAATATCCCACTTTGGGACATCCAACTTCTTTCGCAATTACCTTTTGATGTTTTCCCTCCCTATGCAGTGTCTCCGCGATGGTTTTCTGCACAACTCTCTTCCCCATGATTGTGATTCCTACTGAACCAGACTGAGAGACCATTTAAAGGCTCAGAAACCCTTTGCAGGTGTTATGGCTTACTTAGCTGATTAGAGTGGGACACTGTGAGCCTAGAATATTGCACCTTTTCACAATATTCTAATTTACTGAGATTGTGGATTTGGGGTTTTCATGAGCTGTAAGTCATAATCATCGCACTTATGACAAATCACGGCTTGAACTATATTGCTTTGCATGTAATGCGTCTATTTCATATATTAGTTTCCCCTTTTACGTTGCATTACTGAAATAAATAAACTTTTGCACAATATTCAAATTTTTCGAGTATCACCTGTATATAAGAGGAGCAGCGCCTAGAGAAGTCCTCTGTTGTGGCCAAGTTTGTAACAAGACAAAGGAACAGTAGAAAAACTACATAGTTTAGCATTGGTTTAAAAAAAAAGAGATTCACTTCTTGTGTGCCTGAGCGGTATGATCCATGCCTGATGATGTGAGGTGTGTCTTTTGATGCAATGGGAGGTGGTCCGGAGGTTATGCAATATAAACAGAATAGATTCCGATATAGTGCAGTATATGTGGTGTCACAGATATTGAAGATATTGTATATAAAGATACATTCACATTTTAAAGAGCCTAAAGACGGCTCCCAATAGATAGCGCGAAGTGGCAAAATCCCCACTCTTGGATATGTTGGTAGTTGTAATTCCCACTGTAATGATATGTGAATAAAAATAAAATATTGTGCACACTGTAGTTTGAAAAGGTGTAAACATAATAGGAAATGCACTCACAAGTGTGGAGCAAAAAAAAAAAGTATTTTGCTCAATTCTCAAAGTGTATGTGGTACATTCACCACAAAGGAATATGATGTCCAGGTGTCAGGAACAAAACAGGATTGTCCAGGAGTATTAGAAATTAATTTGTTTTATTAAAAGTATCTTTAAAAGTACATAAAACACACTAAAATATAACCCTAACACATTTCACCACATTAACTGGGCTTTATCAAAGTATCTGTTTTTTTTTACGTACGGGAGGGGGGGAAGCAGGGGTACCTTAGAAATCGGTGCCTAAGGGCACCTGACATGTAAATTTGTCCTGCAAGTAATTTTGTGCAAGAATGTAGGGGGCTTATTGCACCTTAACCTATGTGACAGACAACAGTTTTATGGTGCATTACATGAACAAAATATATCATAAACAGATACTGAAATATTTCATAAATCACAACATCATGATTGGTCTCTGAGACAAGGAGAAGAGAGAGTCGTTAATAACAGTGAGAATTTTATGTCTATGGAAAATTCTGGCTAATAACAGTCAGACCTCTTCCCTGAATGGGGTGACCTCTGGGCCATACCACTACAGATAAACATAGGGACATCAGTGGGCACACAGTTGCCTAAAGAAAACCATGGTAGCTTGACCCATGTCATGTAAAACAGTTTTAATGGGGTTGTATACCACCTCATTAGAATTGTATACATTTGTTTTTCAAATTAGACATGAACGGATTTCCCCAATGACCCCCCTAAGATGTGTGCAGATCCTTTTCCCATTGAGTAAGACATGGGTAAGGTATCAGCTTCCATCGAAGAAAAGTACAAAGAAAGTTACAGGGAATTAAATAAACTGTATCTTGCTGGGTTTCCTACTTTTTAAGTGTTAAAGTACATAAAAAGTACATAAAAAGACAAGCCTCATTCAGTAAGAATATTAGATATAGAGATAGTTTAAAATGACCAAAATTAACCCCCTCTCCATGTCCCTATACTGATCTCCTCCTTACATCTCAGGATTTAATGGCACCATAAAAGTGCTTAGATTGAAAAAAGAAAAAACTCAGAGTAACTAAGGGAAATCTTATGCGGACTAGGCAGGTCTCGGCACTTCCTCAGAATTTAGGATTTATGGGGAGCCAAGTTTGCTATTCTACAGTAAGCACTCGGGAGATTCCTCTTGATACACTGATCCAAACTTAAGCCTGCATCGGATATCAGAGCTTAATCACCAGAACGTGCATGTGTACTGACGCTAGGTATTATTTACACTCAATATCCTATTATGGTTTATAGATCTCAAATAATCGGAAAGGCGCCCTCTCTAGTTATACAGTTCATTTCCTGCGAGAGTCTAAGAAAAACTGTCAAGATGAGAAAATTGTATTTTTGTGGGAAACTTGTTTTTTATTGGGAGATTTGTCACATAAAAGATAGAATCACACAATAAACATTGAAAAAATAAAAAAGAAATAACTGTAATAGTGGAACATAATGTAACATGACAAAAAGAGTAAGTAAAGTAAAGACCAATGGGCAATGAGTAAAAATGGAATGAAGACGAGACATGAGTCTGTAAGGGAGAACAATTTAGTATAAGGCAGGATTGTAGAGTGGTCGTATCATCCCAGAAAGATGGCAAAGATCATGGTTTCTGGAATTCAGGTAGAACAATACGTTTCATTCCGGAACTTAAGAGTAGCGATTACAGACTCGTTCTTCTTTAATGCATGGTTACTTGGTACTGCAATTTCCTTTCCTAATGTGTTTTATACCCCACCTCCTATAGACTGTAAGCTCGTTTGAGCAGGGCCCTCCTCAACCTATCGTCTCTGTAAGTTTTCTTGTAATTGTCCTATTTATAGTTAAATCCCCCCCTCTAATAATATTGTAAAGCACTACGGAATCTGTTGGCGCTATATAAATGGCGATAATAATAATAATAATGGTTCAATTTATTTACACTTTCACACTGATATCACAACTGTTTTCAGATCAGGCACAGACAAGACATTTAATGCTTTAATTTTCCCTAATTCCTCTCATAGCTCATAAACTCCCCAATTGCTTAACTGCATTGAGTCACTACTTTAGGCAAGGCAGACATTTAAATGCTACAATACGCTGTCCACTACCAGGTTACTGTTCCTCTTCAATAAGTGAACGGGCGACATGTGAGTCCTGTAGAATAATGTACATTAGTCATGAAATTCGTTGGGCAAAGCTGCTGTGTCTTGAGTCCTGCGCCAGTCATAACACACGTTTAAAATATGGGTAAATAAAGCTGTCAGACAGAGGAAGCAATGCACGTGGTGGGTAATTTGATGTTTTACGCTCAAGTGATAATAGATGCAAATATAATATAAAAATAAATAAATCTTAATATGGCTGTAGCAGAATCCTCGGAATTCAAATAGTCTACACTACAGTCTATTTATTACTGGAAAGGGATGGTTTTAATTTTGTGTTTCTGGCTATTTTACTGAGGTGACTTAATACCTTAGTGACCAAGATTTAATGAAATTGAAACCTTTTTGGCACGTTTTTTGTGTGTTTGTAGTTTTCACACAATACATTTCACAGACCTTGTCTATCCCACCACCATGCCACCAGATTTTTATTTTTTTACCTCTACCTCCGAATACAGCAGTACACCCCGTGTAGACCTTTTGATTTTTGAGAAGTTATAGGATCATATTGCAGAATCCCAATTTCAGTTTTCAAATTTCCAATTTTCACCAACTGACTCATATTGGCCACGTCCCTTTTTGGGATGAAATAAAAACCACCAATTGCACTTTAGCCCCATCACGACACACTATTTGCAAAAAGAAGACAAAAAAAGAAGACATACCCTACATATTTACTTTTGCTTGATGTCTGAGTAACTTGTAAGGTCAAATTTGAGATATGCCCTAAATATGACATGTCTCTCTGCTTCCTAGTGACGCTATTTGGAGAAGTGACACTATCCGTGTCAGTATATTGTACCACAATTTGTAACCCTAGCTAACCCTAACTCACTGTTACATGAGCAGTTTAGTATGATGGCCTCTAGGCTAAGGCTAATCAATCTCTATGATAGCAAGTCACAGTGATGACAAGCTTTACATGACAAACTTTCTCACTGTGATTGGCTCCCAGGGCTGTCAGTCAGCGTGGAGGTCAGTCAATACAGATTTATTGATGCCGTCCAGCAATTGGTCAGTGATAGCTAATCCCAGCATGCACTGCTGCAGGCAAGTATTAGCTGCCAGTGATGGCATAGAACATGTGTAGGCAACCTTCAGCACTCCAAATGTTATGGACTACATCTCCCATAATGCCCTGTACAGCCATAATGCTGCCGGCGGATGCCTATCCCTAGCACAGAATCAGTATTTTTGGAACAAAAAGTACCAATTGTTTAAAAAACAAAACAAAAAAAAATCACCCAGCGTAACAAACTGTGCCCTAACCTACCTATTGCACCAAACATGTGTTAGTGCCTTCATTGCCCCTTTTGATTTGGGCATGAACCCAAAAATCGAGTTAATATCTGTATTTATCCCCTATCACAGAGGGCAATTTCTATCAGTACAGAAAATTCCCACACAGCACCAGCAGATGGAAGTGTCTTATTAAACGTGTAAATAACCAGCTCTCTGATCCCAGCTTCCAATAGCCCCCTGATCCTTTTTTTCGATGACATTAATCCGGGTTTTGCTTCAGGTATAATTGCAGGCCCTTGACACAGCGACAATGCGATTAGGAAGAACAGAAAATGCTAATGACAGGTTACCGTATCCCAGTGCTGCGGCACACAAAGGATCTCAGTCCAATGTTTGCAGAACTGCCATTCTGAGATGCTCAGACCTGATCCTCCTATCCTTTCACTTTTTAACCAAAGGGACAGATTATCATGTCATACCATTCCCACAGGTGTCAGATAAACCGTAATTAAATCAGTGAGAAGAGGGCATCTTAGCCTCTAGCACACCTGTGTGTAGTATACAGGGCTCCATCACAGCCCAGCACCTGCTATGAGGGGGGATAAAATGATGTAGGAAGGAATACGACGTAGGAAGGAGCTCTGCTAATCTATTCGACATTTATTCAAGGAACTGGAAATTGTGGAGATTTGTCAAGGGGATTTAAAGCCTTTAAAGTTGCAATTCTAAAACATGAATCCATACTTGCCAGTTCCCAGCAATATCAACCCAGTCACTCATCCTTCCAAAGTTGATAAAATGAGACTAGTGACTTGGGTAATATTTAAAAAGACACTCCAAACCCTTAAAGCAGTTTAGCTTGCTGTAAACCTTTGTGTGAAGAGTGTTCTCTTTTGTCATTTTACGAAAAGTACAGATTTCAATAGAAATTAACACTTTTATAAATTAACCTTGTCACACCCCACATGCTGTCAAACAGACAACCGGTCCTGTTTCATCCTGGTTTATTTGGCTCAGTGGAGCTAAACTCAAGAGTCAGCAATTACCCAGAGTACCTGCCTTGCAATGACTTCTCATTGAGCTGCATTTGGGAAGTCTGTGATTGGACAGCCACAGAAAGTGTGGGCGGGGTTAGAAGGGGAGGGCATGCAAAGGCAGCAGACAAGAGAACAACATCTTTTGGAAGCTGTTTTTAGATATACACCCAATTAAAAAAAATGCTTGCAAGTTTTCATCTCTAAACAGTTATTTTTATTTAATAAATACTCTTGTATAGAGCCAACATACTCTGGTGTTCAAGATACATTGAGTGAAGAATGTAACAACAGGATTAAATCTGCATATTAGGTTTCGAAAGCCTGGTTTTCAAGTTTTCATTCTATGAATTGATGTTACAATGGTTAAGCATAAATAATTCCTCTTTAACTATCAAGATTTAAATCCAGTCAACTTCAGACAAGCGCTAGTAATTACGTAGGATGAAATCACATGAATAGGGTAAATAATTGCTGTATTCTCACCTTCCTTTCACAGTTACACAGAATTCCAAGCAGCTATTTCCCAGCAGGGAGTCAGAATGCATGGTGCTATCATACTGATTTAGCAGGTGACTGACAGCTCACTCTCTCAAACATTTTTAAAGGAACTCTCAGAGCACCATAACCACGACAGCGACCTGGTGCCCTAACATTGTAAGAAGTCAGACCATTTTTGGCTCAACTTCTTTCTTAGGGCCTACCAGATGCTGTTCCCCGCCTCTACTACTACCATCGGACAGCTGGATGTTCCTAAGCAAAGCTAAGCCCTTTTTACGCAACATACTCATAGAAACCTTTAAATACATAAAGGGAATCAACACAGTCAAGGAGGAGACTATATTTAAAAGAAGAAAAACTACCACAAAAAGAGGACATAGTCTTAAATTAGAGGGGAAAAGGTTTAAAAATTATATCAGGAAGTATTACTTTACTGAGAGGGTAGTGGATGCATGGAATAGCCTTCCAGCTGAAGTGGTAGAGGTTAACACAGTAAAGGAGTTTAAGCATGCGTGGGATAGGCATAAGGCTATCCTAACTATAAGATAAGGCCAGGGACTAATGAAAGTATTTAGAAAACTGGGCAGACTAGATGGGCCGAATGGTTCTTATCTGCCGTCACATTCTATGTTTCTATGTAACCCAGGTAGTGGTTATGGTGCTTGGACTGTTTCTTTAAATCCTGATGGTGTTAGCCTTCACAGATTCCACTTGAAGGATGTTTTAGGTATATACTATCCTTTCTATCACACATTTGACCTTTATAGCTCCAACAGGAAGACTATTTCATGTATCTACAACCCCTTCTATAACACCGTTAGCCGTCAGCGCTGGAAGGTTATTCCGGATATCTATTACCCTTTCTATATCACTATTAGTCTGAATTGTTTTCACTGCCCATTCTGTAAAGTACTGTTTCTTAATTTTTATCCTCATAATGAATTCACTGTTAAACATTTTATTAACAAAGGGCACATAATCTGGCACACACAGAGTTTTTAACTCAAAACAGCCTGGCGTGACGGGTAAATGCTAATACAATTAAAGGAAAAGGGAATGCAGGAGAGGTTAGTTGAGAGCGAATGCTTTTTGTCACAAAAGGGAAGATTTTTAGCAAGTTTGCATAGATACGCATGCAGCAAATTAAAAAAATTAAAACAGGAATCCTTCCAAAAACAGATTTAGAATTCTACTTCCCCGAATACATGTCTGCCTTATCTGTGTGTGTGTGTGTGCCACACAATAATCTGTGTGTGTGTGTGTGTTGTTGGTATTTAGGGAGTCCTGCAGCTATTATTAAGTGAGACCTGGCTACGGAACTTTCTAACTCTCTGTGTATCGCCAAAGCTGCTGTGCCTTTCTTATCTGAACCAGGCAGTGTGACTGATGGCGGCTGTAATTTCCAATTTCTTTGTCCCCTGAGATCAGAACTCTTTGTTATGTACATTACAGAATAAACTGAACAATGTCTCTTCTCCACTCTGATGGCCGTGTTTGGTCCATCTGGTACCGGCTAATTCTGCTTCAGCTAACATCAGTCGCCTCCATCTTCACAGAAACAGACTGTAATCTGGTTAGTGCAACGGTGTGTGCCTTACATATTGTGGCTTCAGTTTTTTAGTATGCCAACTCTCTTAATCTAAGCTTTACACCCATAGGCCACAATTAAAAGGCACAGGCTTGTTATGGTGGTAGAAGGGAATAAGTGCAGGCTCTACAGGGTTTCCTCTGCACCTTGAACTCATTGCCTCTGCTTTAGATTTCATAAGGGAGAGATTTCCCACCCTTGTTTTCTGGTCTGATATTTGTAGATCAGGAGTAAGTTATGTATGCTCACTGGAGTCATATGCAGGGAGGTGTGACTAGGGCTGCATAAACAGAGTGATTTAACTCATAAATTTCAGAGAATTGAGCAGTGAGACTGAAGGAGCATGATCTATACACCACAACTGCTTTATTAAAGGGAAACTATAGGCACCCAGACCACTTCATCTGTTTGACGCGTTCTGGGTGAAGTGCCCCTGTCCCCTTAACCCTGCAATGTGAAACACTACGGGGTTAAGATAACTTCTAATGGCTGTCTTCCAGTCAGTCACTAGAGAAGCTTCCTAGACTCTAAATACTTAACTCTATGAAACGACGTTGGACATCCTCACGCTTTGCATGAGGACCTCTAATCATCTTCAAATTCTCCATAGGAAAGCAATGAATTAATGCTTCATGTGGGGGAAGCTGTAATGTGCCACCCTCATCAGCGTGACATCACAGGAGGAGGAGACCTAGCCAACGCCAAGGGACATAGTCTCATGAAAGAGGTAAGTGTAGGGGGGATTTAAATCTCTCCTTACCCGAGTTGGAGGGCACCTAATAAGTTAGGGACAGAGCACACTATAGTGTTAGGAATACAGGTTTGTATTCCTAACACCCTTTAAGCTAAATTTGTTTAGGTGCTTAGCGTATCCTTTACGTGAGTATGATGAGTTTGGCGAGGAGTCTCTGTACTTCAGGCAAATGCAGGGATCTCAACTGAAAGTCATCAACACCAGCCCTCTAACAACCAAATAGACCTCTTTTCATATTATTGTGAACATACTTTTGAATATGTGAATCTACATGAAGACCACAGCAGATCAGTTCATTTTTTTTATTATCACAGCCAGTGACTATTTGGAAGAGCAAATCTGCTAATCGGTTTTACTCCTTATACAAGATTAACATGTGAACAAGAAAACACAGACCTGTTGGTTGACCTTCAGTCAACAATTCCTCTCAATGGATAACTTAACATAACACAAACTAGCTACTGTGGGTGACTTCTTGATCTACATCAAATACAAGTCTAGTAAACATCAAAGAGCTTTAAAACGTGTTCATAAATGCATCCATGTCTTTAATTATTTGTTGTCTCTTCTGACCCCTTGTCTGTCTTCCTAGGTCCCCTAACCTCATTGTGCATATCTCCAACCTTCCTTACCCTATTTTGTGTCCCTCCAGTCCAATCACTCCCTTCCGTGTCTCTCCAACTTAGGTCACTCCACTGTGTGTATCCCTAATCTTTGTATCTCTCTCCAGACTATCTCCTGCCCATTATGTGTCTCTCCAGCCCCAACTCAACCCAGTGCCATTTAATACTCTTACCCACAAATATTGCAATGCGGCTGTACTCAGTGGGACCATGATAGAAGGTCTGCATTTTCCTCACCGCAATGCTTTCCTGGAGCTTTAGAGGTTTTTTTTTTAGTTGCTTAGTACACAGCATCAATGGCCTCATGCAGTCCCAAGGCTGGTCACATGCAGCCACACATCTGTGTAGCCACAACAAAGGGGCGACTTAAAAAAAATTATTTGTTTTTAATTATGGCCACTGGAACCTGGCTACGACAGTGTTAATGGCAACATGAAAATAAAATCTGGTAACCACTAAATACAGGTATGTTTTCTTTAATGACATGTTCTATGTTAAAATCCAGTCTGTTAAAAAAACAGAATGCTACCAAGCTCGAAAGTTGAAAAAATTACTTTCTAGCAAGTTCCTTCTTGTCTTGTCTTGTCTTGCTGCATCCTTCCTGTGGTGGTGGGCAAAGGGTGGCAATTTTTTTTCAAGAACAAAGCAGAAGATGCCATCAGATCGGTAGGAATTTCTGGACCTTCCATGAAACTGGAACAGGGAGACTTGACGCCAGCGCACATTTCAGAACATCTGAGCGTGCAGCAGTGACCTAGTCTGGCATCCCCACAAACTCTGCTTTCTTCTCAGGTTTTCTGTGGGTGAAACAGCCTTCAGAACAAAGTCTGGGAAACAATTGTGGCATGTAGACACACAGCCGGACACAGCTGTTGTAAGGAATTCTGATGACCGTGGTGTGTTCACAGCCATTCCGTGACCTTGCAATAGTGGATAAACTGCATTTAGGCATTACTGCACAGATTTGAACAATGTCAATACCTTATACGCACCATGTCAACTCAAACAACATGTTTAAGGTATCCTTCAAATCTGTGGTTAAAACTTGACAAACCGTAAATCCCCAGACCCTTGTATCTAAAACACTGACTGGGGAGACTTGTAAGCCAAAAAAATACCAGTGCTGAAAAAATACCCTAATTGTACTGAGATGGGGATAATTTTCGTACAGGACTATCATGGCTTAAATTGTACAACTTCATTGACAGCTCACTACAGCTTATAGTTTAGTGCATAATATCTGCAGGAATGCTTCAAAAACAAATATCTGTCTCTAGGAAATATTCGGGTGAGTAGGTATTTTTGGGGCAAAAATAGTTTGAGAAAGCCAGAATGAAAATGCAATATTCAACTATAGATTGGATACATCTTATTTAAGATTTTTGTTGCTACGCAACTCCCAAAAAATATTTACTGGGTTATTTACCTTAGCGAGGATGTAAAGTGAATTGAAGGTGAATTTTAAATTTAAGATCAAAATGGTTTGTCTGGAAAAATATCTAAGTCCGTTATGTTTTCAGTTTGACTACCCTGGCCTTAAATTTGAAATCTACCTTGAATTCACTTAAAATTCTCACTTTATTTTACAACACTTTATCCTTGGAGTTGTCATAACTTTATTCCCGTAATCACAGATTTTGATCTCATTTATTAATAATCCCAAGTATTATAACGCACTATAAAAGTATAAGGCAGAAATAAAACTACAGTTTATTTATTAAGAGTTCAGTTTAGCTTAGTCTTATCATACATATTTAAAGTTCTTTGCCAATAAGAAGCTTGCCGGTTTCATTTTTGTAACTTTTTTTTTTCCTGACACTATTACTTTATAACTTGTTAAATTCTTGTCGCAACTCTATGTTTACACTAGACAAACCAGCCATTTTACTTCTTATTCCAAATATCGTCACGGAGCAAAGGTTATGGTATTTGGGGATTAAGACCGCAACTAATTTTTATTTACAGAAGAAAAAAAAAAAAAAAGGTCTGCCCTTTCTTCTACATGTATATTTTTCTTTTTTTTAAAGCAGGAAAAAATGTAATTTTTTTTTAACCCTGAGTGGCCAATAACCATATTTCAAGCAAACATACAGAGAAGGTAAGTTACTCTTCCAGCTCTCAAAACCCAAAACAATACAGGTAATATTTAGGACTCGGGTATGTAGAATTTGTAACTGTAGCCAAGTTGTAAATGCCATACGGTCTGGGAGATCAGGACTCCTTGAATTAAGTTTGACGCGCCTTGCGAAGTTGTGATTCACATCGATTAGAGTGCCAGAGATTGCCTATAGAAATATATTTTTTTAATGTCCTATTTGTGGATGATCAGACACAGACTGCTACAATCTCAGCAGGGCATCGCCCGACTATCTGTACTTACATAAATAAGTGGCAGTACTCCAGAAATAATCTTCCAATAAAACATTTATGTTGAGTCTCCTCTGTGTTTACACAATCACCCGGATGTCTGATTGCAGGGCTACATTGAAGGCAAGAAAGATTAGACCTACTAACTTGCAGTACATGGCGGCAAACGGTTACAGATAAAGATGGGGTTACTGCCCAGACTTGTTGTATTTTCGTTAACCTTTGAAGTGTAACCTTTGCTTTTGGCTCATTTTCAGAAGAATGGTAATTTGTGGAACAGTGTATCTTTGCGTACATGTACTTGTGAGAGAAACATTTAAACCTCGACCAAACAAAAACCCTTCTTCAATTAATCGCTGCAGAGTGCAGTAACTTTTTATACTAAACTTAAAAATTTATGTATTTTTTTTAAATGACATATGTGCTCATATTTACGTTTGTATTATAAATATGTATTTGATTGCTGACTGCTTTTCAGATCTTTGTAACATTTCATAAACAGGGCAAACCTCGAATGAGAGTAGGAGAGGGATCGGTGTCCTACCAATTGCCCATAGTATGTAGAAAGATAACCTTGGCACTGTGAACTATAACAGCAATAACTCCGTGCCATGAAAGTTATTGCAAGTCCTTTCATAATAAACTTTAAAGCAGAGTGGTTGTATTTTTGTTTTGCTAAAATTATTTTAAAAAGCCACTCAAGTACCACTGCAAAAGGTTATGGTGTAGAGCGTACCCACAGTGGGTCTCCCTTTTTAAACAATTATAAATGCCACAATGTATTGATGACCTCCAGGTTTACAAAACTATGAATCTGAGTTTTAACTTAACCTTGTCATTTTATTGGCATTTCCACTGATCCTATGTGATAAGTGGAATTGTGCCTGCGAGAGATAATACCAATCCCATAAACCTCCAATAAAACTAGACTCCAGAATGAGAGGCTCCTTATTGGTGGAATCACTTCCTGGTCCTGGAGGAGGGCAACATTCTGCTCTGTAGTCTACCCCTTTAGAATATGTTCCCTCACCAATCTATCTGTTAGCAACTTTGTAAACTACACTAAAGAAAAGATTGATACCATAAGGTGTAAAATCTGTTGTTTCTCCTACAGTCAGTGTGCTTCCGTTCTTTTGTAGCAGATTAACACCTTATTCATTGACGCTATCCTCACACACCTAACTCATTTTCTTTCCTTCCTTTCTTGTCTTCCAACAGCAACAAATATTCAAAATCACTCTGCTTTCTTTTTTCTTCCAGAAGTCCTTCAAACATGCAATTACCACATGACATATGTACATAATCTACCACACTTGGGTTTCTTGGCCAGCTCGTACGAACGTTCTTGCAGTCCAACTCTCTAATACACTTCAATCTAGTTTGTTCTGTGGGCAAGCCATTGAAACAGCTTTAACCAAAGAGATGAAGGGCTGAATTTCTGCAATATATAGAGCAGGGGTAGGCAACCTTTTAGTAGTACGGTGCCAAAACAATATCTCGAAGTCCCTTGATGTGCAGGCCCAAATTTTTGTAAATTCATGTTTCTATGTTGCCGTATTCTGCTCGTGTTATTTATGGAGGCTGAAGCTGCTTTGTAACATTGTATTTGTGTGCATGTAGGTATATTCATGAGTAATTTGTGGTATTTTGTATGATACCTATGAATGTAGGCTATGTATGGGGGCTGCTTGTGGAATTGTGTGTGTGTGTGTGTATGATATGTCACAGTGTGTTTGTTGGTGTGTGTATGATTGGGGCTGCTTGTGGTATTACATGTGAGCGGCTGCTTGTGATGTTTGCGGGGACTGTGTGTGTGTGTTTGTGGGTGGTCAGTATTATTTATATGACATGGAGGCTTATTCTGCAGTTCTGTGTATATCTACTGTGTGGCTTCCTTAGGATTCAGTGGGGACCAGGCTGGCCAGATACAGGTTAAAGGCAGGAGCTGCTATAGTTGCTAGGGGCTGCTCTATTCCAGTATGGATTCCTGTTCACAAGTGCTGGAATGGTAAATTGTGGATTATCCCTCACCACCTTTTTGCACTAGCAGATATCTGAAGTCCCACCGGGACTGATAGGCCGGTGCCTGTTTGGCTCTAACAGCCTTGAGTGCCGTTCAGAGGCACCTCGAGTGCCATGCTAGGCACACGTGCCGTAGGTTGCTGACCCCTGATCTAGAGATTACGAAATGAAATGTTCTTGACCCATCTGCTGCTTTTGACATTGCGGACCTCCTTTTATTTTCTTCTTACCCTCCATAACCTTGGACCACGAGTTATTATTATTATTCCTTCATGATTTTCATTCCTCATCTCCTGCTCCTCTTTAATTGTCACTTTTCCTCTGCATTCTCCTACATAGCTATATTAGTAATTAGAGTTCCCCAGATTTAGTTACGGTTCTCCATCTCCCTTGGAATATAACTTCTATATAGACTTCACTGTACTGATACCTTGTTCTCTCCACTTCCTTCATGGATCTGCCACCAACAGCATATCTGTCTTTAATAGGTCATTTGCCACTTCTTGAATTACATTCTCTCCAAAAAGTTATTTTCAAATTCTCCTTTGGCAAAGTTGATAAGTGGTACATCCATCAGCTGTTCTCATTTTTAATTCTACCCTTTCTTTCATTCTTTGTATCCGGCCATTATCCAAAACACGCTATCTTCAGCAATCAAGTTCTCTGTCACCTCTCACAACTTGTCCTCACAACGTCTGTTTCTACCCCATTGCACCTTCTTTAATATTACTGTATATGCTGTGTAGCATATGTTAATAATGAATTTACTGCAGTTTGTGTACTGGCAATCTATATTCTCTTCCGGGCACATTACACGTTACCTCTTGTATAGATACAAATAATTTCTTGTACGCCGTACACCAAATTGACTAGGGTGGGCTTCTGTCATCCCTTGTTCCCTTGATCTGTTTGTTAAATTATTTGTATGTTTATGCTCACCCGTTACACGGTGCTGCCGAAAATGTTATCACTTTAGAAATAGGTTATTGCATGAAACATGGCATGGAATTATAAAAGGTAATTACTTAAAGCAGGACGCTGTTCTTCCATCCATAAGGTAAAAGGTATATGTGTAATCAGAGCCTGCCTTTGTAATTGTATTATCTAAATTATAATTATCTGGAGCAGTAAGCATTTCTCTGAAAATGTTGCTTTTATCTGCTTATTAATGTGAAACCCTTGCAGGATATTTAATGCCGAACATGTGAAGTTTAATTACGCAGTTTGATTATCGAACCATAAATGCCCTGCTTAGAATAAACTGTAATGCAAGTTAATGTATATGGCCAATATTGAATCAAGGTAAAAGGACACTTAATGGTGAGGACCTATTGAGGACAATATCCATGATTGTAGCCTCTGCAGTTTTCTGTGCCCAGATTAGGGAGTACCTAAACCAAGGGCCGGACATGTTAGTTGCCTGTAGGCATACAATTATAAGGTGCCCCCTGCTCCCCAACCACACAAAAAAGGCAGATAAATAAGTATAATTAATATATTGACAGAACATTGCAGGTCTAAAAACATTCATTTCTGACAACTGCATATGTATGTGTATGTAGATTTCGGATTGCAATGTACTGTCTTTGAATCTATTATTAAAGTGATTGCATGCAGCAGTGTGAATGCACGCAGGGTTAAAGACAATGTTAGAAGTGGTTATGGTAAAGGAGGGTTAAGGTTAGAGTTGGGTTAATGCCAGAGTTAGATTACATAGGATGTTTAGTGTTAAGAAGATAATTGCTTGAAATGGGTTAATGTTGTAGTTTAAAGGTTGTTTAAGATTATTGGGAATAGATCTAGAGTTGGGTTAAATTTAGTATTGGGGTACATGAGGTAGTTAGTTTTTAAGAGGAGTTAAACATAGGATTAAGGTAAAGGGTTTATTTTCAGAGTTTGAAGGATTATTTACAAAGTACTCGGCCTCCTATGTCTTCTGTAGTCCAGTCAGTTTCATTTGATTGATGATATTAGAGCTACAGGAGATGTTATACAGTGTGCACCACTCAGAGCTTCCCCTACTCCTCCTGCAAGTCATGTCTTGTGTGAGAGGCTGTTAGAGGGCAGATGGGAAGTGGTCCATTCCACTTCCTGTCCAGCCTCACACACAGACACTGGAGGATCTGGGACAGCACTGAGTGTTACACCCTCTATAACTGTTCCTGCAGCTCTGCTATTAACACTAACTAAACTGCAGAGGACACTGGCCAAGGCTGCTGGTACTTATCTCTCCTCACCAGTCTATTTGAGCTCAAAAAGTCACAAAATAAGTGCTGAAAATAGGCCTCCCTGGGCAGATGCCTGCACAGTCTATAGGGAAATCCAGCCCTGGCTAAGCCAATTGTATTTTTATTATTTTAAATAACCTACTTGTGTGATAAAGACAAAAACATTTGAGTTTTTTTATTAGTAGTTTTGCAGTGTCCTCTCCCTCCATTACTGATGGCTGAAGATAATGCTGAGGGTAAACAAATAACTATGTAGAGATTTGGGGGCATGTTTGAAAAATACTTTTATCGACTTTCTGATGCCACCTATTGGTTTCCATTGGGTTGTAAGATACTGTACTTCCTAAAAGAAAGGCCTTTATAATGTCCTATAATCCAGGGCTGTCATTGATTAGCAGCATCAGGTTGTGGAGTTAGTTATTTTCCAAATACATATATCAATAGACTTATGATGCTGGACATGGTTTCATTGGGGCAGTGAATGATTAAATGGGATTAGGTGCACAGAGTCAAATTCCGTGGGTAGCGTCTAGTACTCCACCATCTTGAAACTCACCAGCTGCCACTGATACTGAGTTTTTTTAAGAAAACCCTGCAGCTGTTCTTTATACGAACAGCAGGTAATTTTAGGAGTTGACGTACTATGGACCTCAAGACAATAGTGAAAACATCAATGTGGTCCTGTGATTTCTGAGTACTTAATAAAGATAAAGTCAGTGTAGAAAACTCATATTGACTATGTTGGAATGTACTCGAAATTCCAGTAAAATCTAAAGATATCTTAAGACAACACAGATACTATTTTTTTCATATGGGCAAAGCCTAAGTTGACAAGACTTGACAGAAGGCAGAATTGCTGCTGTCACGTTCATCAATACGGCAGTCATTGATAGTTGGTGTATGGAGGATCCTGTGGTCTTGTGGGATCCTGCATAGACCTCTCTGCCTTGTACCTTTGCACATTTATGAATGTATAACATTGAAACAACTCCAGGTTGATGAAGCATCTTGAGCTGAATATGAAGGTGGCATCACCTTCGAAGGGAAAGTTCAAGAAAGAAGATATGCCTTCAGTTTCTCCTCCAGACAGCTGTGACACAAGTGGACACGTCACCTTCAGGTGCCTTTTGTAAAATAGGCAAAGACCCCCAAAAGGGACAGAGTTGCATTAAGTAGAGTTTTAGATAGGGTTGTCAACTCAACAACAACTTAGCAGTACTCTGTAATTTACCATTCAATGTCTTCTTTGAAGATTCTGCCAAGTTCTACTCAAGAAACCACCCGCCCTGACAATACCTGAAAATATTTTTTATTTTTCTTAAATCTGATAGGGCGTTGAACGTAAACTCAGGCTTTCGAGTTCAAATGAACTCAGTAGGTTCAGTAGAGTCAGAGTCCGGTTAACTTTGAGTTTATATTAGGTTGATTTCGATACATCGGTGAACAGATTAGACACTGTTGCAGGTAAACTGGAGGCGGAATTATCCACAAAATATTAAATTGTAATAATGTGACAACATGATTGGGAAAAAAAACAACAAAATAGGTGACTGGTAAAAATTCTACAGCGCCACCAGTAATAATCCAAATCTGCTATATTATCATACATTATGCACTTCGTCAGATTAACACAATTCCTTAGGAAATAAACTCTGTTGATCATAGACTAAGACTCATAAATGGAAGTTGATCATAGAACTGTCATCCAGCGGAGGTGGTACAATGTTTTGTGTTAGATGGATATGCAGAAGGCAAAGATGCTGTGATAACAGGATAGTTTGTTATATGGAAAGCACAAACGTATCCTGCAGCGAAGTACAATGATATCTTAAATGCTGACTGATGACTTACGCTGGGTAAATGAGGGGGAATTAAGGCAAACTCATTATATGCTTTGACAGTGAAATTATTTTTAACTTATGCAGTGCTATCGCATGAGCAAAACACACTACTCCGGCACATCAGTCTTTACAATGGCTTGAGTCATTTTACTGTGTTCATTAACAGAGGGGATTCAAAATTCAAAAAAACTCCCTATAATGTAAGCATAAAAGTCTCCCATTTTCCCCAAATACTCTGATTTGCCTGCGGTAATATATATTAAAAACAAGAGGATATGGTCAGATTAACATTTTCACTCTATGGTTTATTAAGGAATTTAATATTATTATTAATTCATTTCTACCCCGGTTTCAGATCTCATACAAAACAACTTCACCACCTCCAACATTCTCAACAAACCCTGAAATTCAAAAGTGACTTAAATTTCTTACTGTAAAAATATTTAGACAATTCATAAATCACAAAAGTGTTATGTTTCTGGTGTCTCCGTTCAAAGCGTTTTATTACCCTGTCAAGATTCAGGAAACAGTTAACTGGAGGTGTCTGTCAAACACATCAAGTCAATGCACACTTGGACAGAAAATAATTAGTTTTCCTTACCATTATTTTAAATGATTGTGGTTTAATAAAACACAAAGAACTCTGCGGTATTATAATGGCATTGCTTAGTTTGAGTTAATCAGCTGCAAAAAAAAATCTACCTCTGAATTTATAAAAAGAGAAAACAGGGGAGAAAACCTTTTATGAAATGTCATTCAAATCCGCGAACTTGGTGTAATTATTCTGAAAACACTATTCCTGACCTAATTCTAAACTTCATTTTTTTAAAACAGATTTTAAGTGTTTTCTATAACGCTAAAATAACTTTCTTTTTTTTTTCCGCCCTCAGACAATTATGGCAATTTATGTTTCGTAGCTGTCAGAAAATCCCACATAGATTCAATTCTTCTGTGATCGATTTTTCTTCTGACAACGCTTTGAAAGAGGCACTCAAATAAGATTGTTAAACATGAAGATGATGAGTTACTTCGCACAATACAAGGACTGTGATTTTTACTGCTGATACAAAACAGTTGTGACATTATCAAATCCTGTTTTGTAAGGTATCTGCTTACGCAAAACGTATGCAGTCATCCGAAATAATTGAACGCAAGCTAGTGCTTAACTTTTATTGCTGGCTGAAATGTTAATTGCCAAAATATTATATATTTATATCATGACCTGTAATATGTCTATCATTACAAGCGGAGAGGCTGGATTAACCCCTTAAGGACACAACTTCAGAAATAAAAGGGAATCATGACGTAATATTTCCGTCGTGTGTCTTTAAGGGGTTAAGGAGAGCCGGCTAGAAATGGCGACTGCTGCCCCTGAGTTTACTCCCACTAGTCTCAGGCAGAGCTGGTGCGGCGCTAAGATTAAAAGACTTTTAGGAATTATCTAGACACTAACTTTTATAGAAATGCAATATTCAAGATACATATTGCTGATCCGTATATATGGAGAAAATAATGCCATAAATTATTTACCATCCTGGGTTTGTAGACACAATCATAAACTACTCGAGATATATTATATAGACTAGTGGTTCTATTGCATTAGGTTCCCATACTCCCAAGTATTTGCAGTGGATCCCTGTTGCGTTGAACCATTCCGTCTGAACATTCGGGCTTTAGACAGTTGACCCAATCAATACAGATTGAGATCCCTTTAACACTGGGAAGAATCGAGTGAAGAGGTTACGCAGATTTTATTTTGGTATATTAAGTTACAAATGAACAATGATTAGCTGTGATAAATTTGAAGAATAGGTCACCAAACAGATGTCATGTACATAATCTGGATCCCTGTCAAAAAAAAAGGTTAGGATCCACAGATACACAACTAGTTCTTCTGAAACATGGACATTCCAGTTATCATCTGGACTGTTACTGGCAAATGTCTCTGAGACACGTAAGACATGCTGATATTCCGTAGGTGTAACTATGAAAGATTAGTAACTATCTCCACCCCGGCTAGTCATATTTTTCTCCAATGACCACATGCCCCACATTGTGGCACACACCTGACACGACGCATATTTACTAGAGTCAATTTCAATTTTGAGGCCACAGCAGCTGAATTGAGATTATAGCTGCATTTTCCCAGTTTAGAAATTTTGACTTTAAGTTTGAAATTCACTTTAATTCCCTTCAAATGATCATTTTTAAATTTTACAGTTTCTTAATTCTAGAGCAATAAGCCTCCACACCTGTCATGAAGTAGACCTGGTTATGTTAGTAGTATACCAGTATGTACAGAGAATTGCAAACATAAATACATACAGGGCATTGCTAGTTAATTGTTCATGTTCATATAGGACATACAATATCCCCTAATTCCATCAAACCCCACATTCCATGTCTCTATGGTGTACAGTGCTTGCCGAAGATGCTGACAGTAAACAAGCACATTGTCTTGGTGAGTACCACAGGTGTGTGCTGGGTTCTGGGGGAGTGGGTAGAATATCAGAGGTGTCTGCTGAGTTCAACAGATGAGTGCCTGGTTTATAAGGTGTGTTATAAAATGGGACAAGATTGTTCTGGCTCAAGAAGTGGGTGTTGTACTGTGTGTAATGGGGTATAGGATTTATTGCATGATATATGTTATTTGTACTTGTGTGTATGATGGAGCTGTGCAGTGTGTGACTCTGTATATGATGGAGCTGTGAGCTAAGTATTGGAGCTCTGTGGTTTGTAACCGTAATGGAGCTGTGAGCTAAGTACTGGAGCTTGTGGTTTTTAACTGTATATGATGGAGCTGTGAGCTAAGTACTGGAGCTCTGTGGTTTTTAACTGTATATGATGGGGCTGTGAGCTAAGTACTGGAGCTCTGTGGTTTGTAACCGTAATGGAGCTGTGAGCTAAGTATTGGAGCTCTGTGGTTTGTAACCGTAATGGAGCTGTGAGCTAAGTACTGGAGCTTGTGGTTTTTAACTGTATATGATGGAGCTGTGAGCTAAGTACTGGAGCTCTGTGGTTTTTAACTGTATATGATGGGGCTGTGAGCTAAGTACTGGAGCTCTGTGGTTTTTAACTGTATATGATGGAGCTGTGAGCTAAGTACTGGAGCTCGTGGTTTTTAACTGTATATGATGGAGCTGTGAGCTAAGTACTGGAGCCCATTGTAACTGTATGTGATAGAGATGTGAGCTAAGTACTGGAGCTCTGTGGATTATAACTGTATGTGATAGAGCTGTGAGCTAAGTACTGGAGCTCTGTGGATTATAACTGTACGTGATAGAGCTGTGAGCTAAGTACTGGAGCTCTGTGGTTTGTAACTGAGGATGTGATGAAGCTGTGAGCTAAATGCAGGAGCTGTGTGGTTTGTAATTGGGTGTGTGATGGAGCTGTGAGCTAAGGACTGGAGGTCTGTGGATTATAACTGTATATGATGGAGCTGTGAGCTAAGGACTGGAGCTCTGTGGAGTATAACTGTATATGATGAAGCTCCGAGCTAAGGACCGGAGCTCTGTGGAGTATAACTGTATATGATGGAGCTGTGAGCTAAGGACTGGAGCTCTGTGGATAATAACTGTATGTGATGGAGCTGTGAGCTAAGGACTGGGGCTCTGTGGATTATAACTGTATGTGATGGAGCTGTGAGCTAAGGACTGGAGCTCTGTGGATTATAACTGTATGCGATGGAGCTGTGAGCTAAGGGCTGGAGCTCTGTGGAGTATAACTGTATGTGATGGAGCTGTGAGCTAAGGACTGGAGCTCTGTGGAGTATAACTGTATATAATGAAGCTGTCAGCTAAATGCAGGAGCTCTGCTCAGTGTAACTGTATATGCTTGGTTCTAAACCTTGTATCACAGGGATCCAAAATATGCACAAGGCATTCTCTCAGGCCATTCACACAGTCTTTAATTTTGACACAAAACATTCCAAATAAGAAATACACACACCTTCCTGTTTATCAGACTGTTCTCTAAGTGAAATGGTGTGAGCTCCACTGGGAGAACAAGCGATTACCATTTAATGGGTGCAGGTGTCTGATGATTCAAAATCCATGGGGGCATGGGTCCCAACCTAGGACCCCAGCCCTGCCTAGCCCTCTTCCCTGGCTGCGGGAGACTGGGGACCCTGTTGTGTTTGGCTACTGCTAGGCAGAGCTTGGCCAGTGTGATGCAGTGTTTGGCCAGTGGGAGGCACTGTGTGGCCAGTGTTATGGAAATATCAAACAGCATGCAGGGAGCGACACTCACCTGTACCAGTCCAGTCCTTTGTCATAGTTCCTATCGAAGAAGTGGGGTTCAGCTCCCACCGCCCTGATATCGGGGTGCACTCTCAGGAACTCCAGCAGAGCCCGGGTGCCTCCTTTCTTCACCCCAATAATGATGGCCTGGGGGAGCTTCTTGCTGCCATCCTCCAGAGGGGTGAGGGTACTGTCCCCCTCTGCCAGTTCATGGGGCTCCTCTTGCAGAGAGTAAGCCACCTCAATCCTAGGGAAGAGGTGGCTGAGTGGGGAGCGCTGGATCAGCCTCACCCTCTGCTCCTTCATCCTCTGCAGCAGCCTCTTCCTCTTCCCTGACTGCATGCTGGCCAGGTCCAGGAAGCCAGGCTCCTCTTCCTCGCTGCCCCCTATGATGGGTCCAGGCAGGCTCTGGCTGCGCTCTGCCAGGCAGTAGAAGACATAAAGGGACATGAGCAGGGAGCAGAGCATCACCACAAACTTCCTAAATATGCTCCTGGACAAGGGCTCCGGCAGTGACCCAGACAATGCCATGCTAGCCCAAAGCATGCTGAGCTCGCCATGCTAGGTAGCCCTGGATGCCAATGCCATATCATTAGAACTGTCTCTGGACTCAGCAGTGTGCCCACTTAACTGCAACCAATTTCACCCTTCAGCTCGGTGAGTGCACACTGGAGGACTCGTGCAGTGCAAGCATGGGATGGGCATATCTCCTAAAAACAGGCTGTAGATTGTAAGCTCTGCGGGACAGAAATGTATTATGTCGCAGTATCTGTTCCAGTTGGCTCCCTGGGTTACATCTCCCAATCCTGGTTAATACATGTGTAGACAGCTCTGAGATTAGCATATCCAGCTGTCTGCAGAGGGGGGGCAGAATATGATATTGTCAGAACCAATAGTCCCATTCCCCCCATGCAGTGAGCAGTGATAATCCAATCTGGGATGGGGGTCCTCACCCTGCAGCAGGGCTGGCTATGAAGAATGGGATCTTGCTTGGCTGGTGGGTGATGCCCCCCATGCCATGCCTGCCCCTGCACCCTGGTAGTGGCTGTCAGACTGTGTCAATGCTGCACACACGTGGGGATCTGGATACAAAACTTCTCACTGACATCACAGAATAGAATCTGACCAATGGGCCTTCATCAAAGAGGAAAGAATGGACCAATAGAGAGGCAGGAGGGGCGGGGCGTGTCTCTGAGTATCTCCTGCCTGTGTTCCAAAGCTCTGTATAATGTGATACATTTTATCATATAGCTTTAGCTGGGTATCTTCCTCTGCCAGGGCTGTCTGTCTGCTGTCTGTCTGCCTCCATTCTGCACTGCTATGCCTATTTACCAGCTCCTACCCAGGGTCCATCACTGTAGGTGCTGTATGCTGCTGCCATTCACATCAATCTCAGCCACTATCATAGCTGGATTAACCCATAGAGAACATAGAGCTCAGAATTAGATACCTGGCAAAGCTTGACCCCATTCACTGTCCCTATAATAATAGTTCATGGGGGACCCAAACTGACTAGAGCCCTGTGGGGTGTTAATCCTTTTCTGGCTAAGGCCCTGAATCCCAAAAGGTATAAAACACTAAAACTAACCATCAATATTATCCTCTGGAACCCCTGATTGTGTTAGATACTACCTCTCCCATCACTCTCAATGAGAACCTTCTGAAGGTTTATTTTTTTGTGGAGCTATAGCTATTCCCATACCTTTCAGCTAGAATTGTTGACACCCCAGATGCTTTGAGCAACTACCATTCTTATCACTCTCATGCAAAAAATAGTCTGACACTCCTGTGTGTGGAAGTTACTGCTATTCCCATTACTACTAGCTAAATACCTCTGCTATGCCAGATTGTGGAAACCACTACTATTCCTGTCACTCTGAGCTGAAACTCTGGCACATGGGATTTTATTGGACACTACTATTCCCATTAATCCCATCAATATCCCAAATTATATTATTTACTAGTACTGCTATCACTCTCATGTACCATGTAATCATCATTTCTCAAAAGAATGCAAAATTGGTCCACCGTGACGTTTCAGCCACCAACAGTGGCCTTCGTCAAATTAGTTTTAACCATACAACATATGACCAACTTTTTCTGTCCTCTCACATTGTACACCCACTGTGCCTCCTCGCTAGCCACATCCTTATCCCACCTAGCCTCTTCCTTTCATTTAACCCCTTAAACTCCATCTCCAGACAAATCATTTCCTTCTATCTTTTAACCCATTCAGCACCCAGTCCTTTTCATTTTACCCTATAAACCCTCACTCAGCTATCTGCCATTCTCATTCTACCCTTTAACCCCCTCAGTTCCCAGGCCAGTTAATTCTACAATTTAACCTCTTATCCACCTACCTCATTTCATTCAGCACATAAATACCTTCGCCAGGCACTTCTTACATTTTTTTTTGCCATTTTAACTCCTTCTTGACCCGTTACATTTCACTCTGCCTATTAACTGCCTATTCCCTCTCTTCCTTTTTCTTTTCATACTGCCCTTTTAACCTCGTCTCCAGCCCCTTCCATTCATTCAGCATTCAAAACTCTTTCTCCAGCCTCTTCCTTTCATTCTACCATTTTAACCCCCTAGTGACCTAGCCCCCTGTCCCTTTTAATCTACCCTTTAACCCTTTGCCCACCTGCTTTCTTTCATTTAGGTCTCTAATCTCCTCACCAGACCTTTTTTTATTGTGCCATTTTAACCGGTTCCTTGCCTACTACCTTTTTGCCCCATTAACTCTTCCCCCTCCTACTTTCTTTCAGTCTGCCCAATTAACCAGTCTTCAGCCACATTTTATTGCTGTCCCTTTAACCCTTTCTCCAGCCACTTTTTGTTGAAGCATTTTAACCCCCTCGCCTGCCATTTCCTTTTTCTCTGCCCATTAAATCCCTATCTGGTGAGTTTATTTCATTATGCCCATACTCCAGCCCTCGTTCCCCAGAGATAATTTGTCCTGGGAATGGGAGGATATGTTTGATCGCCAGTAAAGCTCTCCCACCCCTGATCAATAACTCTAATCATTACACGGAATGGCTTGAAGAGGTGCTTGGCTGAACACACAGGGCAAATCTAATATATTCAAAGCATTAGTGAAACGATCCTTGTTCTTACAACTCTAGGCACCCACGTTGTCTATGGAAATTAGATTGTCTCTGGTTTGCATGAAAAGCTCTGATCGGATTTGAATAAAGTACCACATTTCCTGGCCATCTTTCCTGCTGGGGATTAACCCTTACATCGCCAAACCTTTCTCCTGCAGAATAGGAAGCCTTCACCCTGACATTTAAATATATGAGCTACTTGAAATGACCTGAGAGAAATCGGCGGTGGTACACATGCTGTAAAATCTGTGTGGGTAAAAGGAGTAACGCCAGAAGAAGACATTATTTTATTTTGCCACCATATACAAATTTTGGGTAGGTTTAAACAAACAATTTAGAATGGACAGATTGGTGACATAGGGTATCTAATCACCATTGTACAGCGCTGCGGAATTTGTTGGAACTTTATAAACAATAATAATAATGTAGAGTTCAGTCTCATGTTTCAAACATTGGAAGGTATTAGACATAGAATTATTGTTAAACATTGGAAGGTTTTAGATGTAGAATGTTTGTGAAGGGGTAACTTTTTATAGTACGTAATAATTAGAGTACAGGCCTTTGTGCCAAATTAAATTTATAATACTTAACAAAACCAATAAATAACAGTACCTCATTCCTTTATTTTATCAGAAACCCTCCAGTTAAATAATTGATGTATGCCGCATGTGTGTGTGTGTATGTGTGTGTATATGAGAATTGGTGGTGTTGATGACACACAGTGTTACATACATTAATTCACAATAACATATGACCACTCTGACCTCATGAGCTTTTGTTTTAGTATCGCTTTTATTTTCTGCAGCGAGACGGCAACACAATACAATTACAGAAAGTGCCTCCCTGACAGTGTTTATTGGTGTAAATAATTCCTTTGATGTATTGGACACATTCTATGTTAACAGTGAGTATACAATGTTATTATTTATTATTCATAAAGCACCGATATATCCTGCGTTGTTGAGGGGACATGCTTTTTGTACTGTCATGTCCATCAGTCCTGGATGACTTCATGAGTAATACAACTATTCATTATACTATCCGAGATGATTTGGAACAAAACTAAAGTATTTTGTTTGTGTAAGATAATTTCGGTACATATATACTAAAGTTAAAATACACGTTCCATGTTTTCTGGATTCTCTGGTTTCGAAGTTCTGGATTCACTCAAGCATCACGTATTTTTTTATGACTTTTTTTATTGCTGTGGATCTCTGTAATGTACGCCAAAACATTCTAATTTTATTGCTGTCGAATTCAATGATGCCCTGAGGCACTCGGAAACTTCGGAAGCTCAATTCTCAGGTCAGTTTCAGTATTTTTGCTGTTTCTACAATCTTTAGTTTTTTGTTTGTTTGGTTATCTGTCTGGTTGCAGGTATGTATTTTACACTCCATGTTTCCTTGGCAGATTAGCGGGTATTTTCTTGTCTCAAGGCATGGTATGGTTTATCAGGGTGTCTCTTGTTATTTCTGCCCAGATGCCCAATCCGTCCCATTGGTATCCCATGCTCAGTTCTTAGTAGGTTTCATTCTAGAGATAACAGGTAAGCTAGTTATTCATACTCAGATAGCAAAAGAAAGCTGCTTTGATTTTGTACACAATGGACTCTCACAATTTTTCTTTAAGATCCTCTCGGAGATCTCCATCAATGGCCAGTGAGAAAGGGAAAAGTCAATGGTTTGAAGCTTGTAAAAACCTGCCCTGGATGGAGCAAGAAACTGAAACTGTCACGGTTCTCACCGCAACATCCCGACGGCCAGATGAGGTCGCCCCAGAAGTGCCCGGTGACGGACTTGAACCAGGGTACTTTGCAGTCCTGGGGCTGCTACTTTGCCTCTGAGCCACCATATCAGCTCTAGAGATAGACAGAAGTCTATCTTACCTTGTACCCAGCATCGGGGGCTGGATGTTATTCTGTGGCTGCTCCAATGATCTCAGCACACCTGTGGCTGATCACAAATTAGCCAGGTATAAGACACTGCCTCTCCCTGAGGGCAGTGTCAGTTCATTGACTCTGGTTCCCTTGTTTGGTTCCTGTCTTGCTATATCTGCGTTCCAGTATTTCCTGTCTGATTCCGGCTTCTGACCTTGGCTTTCCTACTGGACTACTCTGATATCTGGCTTCCCCTGACTTTGGCTTTCCTTGACTACGCTTCTGCTAATCCCTGCTGTACTGCTACTTGGAGCACTATTCCTGGAAAGCCCCCGTGCACAGACTCACAGATCAGGTGGCGTCTTACCTGGTCACCCTGGTCTGTGTCTACTTTGCAAGGGTGAGCGTATAACTCTGTGAGCCGGACTCCCCATCATGTAAGATCCTGACAGAAACATGCTTGGCATCAGCAGCAGGTCCAGTGGTTCCTACCATTGATGTGCTCCATGAAGTCGCAGGAAGGTCATTCCTGTAAAGACAGATAATTCTCCATATAGACCCATCAGCCCAAAGAGCCTGTGGATCAAAGGATTTAGTCTAAACTCACTAAGGCTTATTTCGTTACTTTACCTTTTTTTCCGGCGCCCGCACTGCTCCTCTCCTCTGGCCACACAAGCAGAAAGCACGCGTGGCCGCATTACCTCAGTCCTCCACGTCGTTGCGCGGCCTGAATATAATACTTACATTCGGTCCCGTGGACATCTCCCTCTGCCGGTACGCGGGATGGACTGCACCCCTAAATATAAAAGAAATAGCCATGACGTCATTACCTTAAAGGGACCATCTAGGCAACCCAATGCTGTTTGGGTGATTCCCTTGTGATTTCCTGTGTTTGACCTCGGCTTCGTATTTGACTTCTGATTTCTGATATCCTGACCATGGCTTCGTATTTGACTTCTGATTTCTGGTATCCTGACGCCGGCTTCATATTTGACTTGTGATGTCTGGTATCCTGACCTCGGCATCGTATTTGACTCGTGATTTCTGGTATCCTGACCCCGGCATCGTATTTGAATCGTATTTTCTG